GACAGTCGGTTGGTCATTATCACAAAATACACCCCGGCACAGAGCGAAACATTTCTGCCTGAACAAATTTATTTTCTTATAACAAGCAGCTTATTATACAGATAATACGGATGGTGGATACATAAAACAATTAAAATATTGCAAATCAATATCTAAATAATCTAAATCATTATCTAAAAGCATCAATGGTCTATAACAACATACAAAAATATGAAGTGAATTAAAATGAATACTGCAACAATATTGAAGAAGCCTAATAATAAAAATGAAGTCTTCCAACAACATTTTAACATCACCATCGACAATAAGCTACTGTTAAAGAACCAAAGTGCAGTTTATTTACCAGGCTTAAACCAGATACTACAGCAAAACTATAAGTTTAAAGCCACTTAAAACTTAAACTTAAATCAGTGATAAAGTAAATAATTTTTTTCTTTTTCAAATAATTTGCCATAAAACAACATTTCTTTGCGTTGTAACATTCATAGCGCCGCCTATTGGCTGACCTTGATAAAAAAAAGCTTCTTTGGATGAAATTTGAGGAATTGAACCTTTGCTTTGAAATTATAGTCATTTTGGGTGTTTTTGCCCATGTCCATTTGTCTAAATTACCTTACACTCGTAAGGATAGGATTCAAATTTGGATAGGATTCAAATTTGGGTACTAATATAAAGATACCAATTTGGACCCTTTCAAGTAAAATGAACCTTTTGATAAGTGACAGTGACAGCATTTACATCTGAGAGAATATTATTACTGTCTAAAATCTACAAATTCTTGTCTTACTGCTGTCAAATTCTCCCTCTATTTGTTAATTATTTATTGCGGTTAAGGTCAATTGAAAAAAAATAGGACTTTTTCAATAATTTCTAATATGTAACAAATGGTTTGTTTGGCAGACGTGGCTCTGAAGGCAAAAATTTTCCAATTAGCAGATCTAACATGTAAAGATTAAGTGTTAGCATCCACTTGTGCATAACATGCAATCAATTGCACACATTTAAAACATAATGTAGGTCATTTTCTTTCAAATTTTTCACAGACCTTTAAGGCAATTAGTCAAAAAGGCCTAGTGAGTTTTGCTCTGAATTGGCATTCATTAACTTGGTCTTATATGCTTGAATCAATCGATTCAAATATTATCAAACGATTAAATGGCCATTTTCAGTGGTTATCAGCTGATAGATATGGGCTAGTAGGTGCCTAGTAAGCTCAGAAAGCTGTCATCAACCATGACAACATGGCATTTGTGTTTGTGTGTGTGTGTGTGTGTGTGGGGGGGGGGGGGGGGGGTATTCCCTGTTATTTTTTACCATGACCTTAGATTTAGCTCATGCATATGTATTCCTATTTTCATTCTGTTCAAGAATTAGTAAAATTGGCCCCATCCATTTCCAACATGTTCTGCCCTGTCATGAATATTCCAATCAGACTGAAAAGTAAAGTAGTTCACAAAAATGGGTTTTTGTCAGAAAAAAAATCTAAATATCAGATTATTTGTTGTGATCAAAAACTTTATAGCCTTTTTTAGTTCAGCTTGAGCCAGGGATTTTCATGATAAAATAAAAGAGTCTCTGCTGAGCAGTTTAGAAGTTATGAGTGATTATGCTGTAGTGCCACACTCAGCTTATTAGGGTGAGTCTATTTGATGTTATAGACAGGTGGGTACTTCCATTCCTCCAACTTTCAAGTCTCTACGAATTTCTAGTCTGCCTGATCATCTTGATGAAAATCCTAACAATTAAAACAGTATTTCAGCCCTCCAACAAAAAAGCAAAACCACAAACTAGAACAGACATGAACTTGACATAAAGAAGCTTGACTAACCTAATTAAAAGTAGCTTAGAAGAAGTAAACGACCAACCAATATACTGTAGTGCACTATAGTAGATAGGGAGCAGCATCGGACATCACTATGGACAAGCAACAAAGACTACATTAATAATTAATAGTAATTAAGAAAATGAACCAGTGACAAGTTGAGGTCCCACCTGACTAGAGACTGAACCAATGAAAACAACACATGAACAAAGGAGCACATGTTAAGATCACAACAGATGTGACAGATGTAAGATGGCGTGAGCTGCATTCGAATGAGACGAGTTCGCAATGTGATATGAGAGACATGAAAGTAGAAGGTTTCATTTGATTTATTTTTAATGTAAGAACAGACAGGGCCATTTTTATCTTGAATGTGTGAGGCTCCGATCAGTCACTTCCAGTTATAGTGCAACAGTTGGATTCTGGAAGTACAACTCCATTCATTTTCTTCTTAGGGAAATAGATTTTTAACGAAAATGTAAAAAGTTCATATTTAAAGACATATTTACTATGAACAACAACCACAAGGTTTATAATCAATGGGATACTATTCTGTGAAAGCTATCAGTGCTCATATTCTAAACTCACGTTTCAGAAAAGTGTTCAACAGCGGAATTTGTGGTTAAAAAAAATGATAAATCAAAAGAATGTAATAAGCTAATCTTATGAAAAGATTCCACCATACAATCTGTTCAAACTACACTGTGAATTAATTTAGTAGTGCTTCTTCATCTTGTTTAAAAGTTTTCACCCCCCTCCTTTTTCCTTTTGGAGCATTAGTGATTGCTTGAACCTTGTGTTTGAGTCCCTCAATTGTCCTAAGTGTGAAAAGTTGAATCTTAAAATCATACAGTCACTGCTGGAAAGGGTTGAAATATGCAAAAGATGCTGAAATATGCAAAAGATGTTGAAAGCTGAGGAATCTGCAGGACATGGAGGATTTTTGTCATGGTAAAACAGCAGGCAATTTAACTGTTCAGATCAAGCAGGGGACTCGTGAACAACCATCACATAATAAGAAATCCAGTGACAGACCACAAGGTACCCACACACAGTATTAAAAGATAGGTTATTTTAATAATTTTAGCTATGCTTTTGTCATGTGAGCTAAATATCTTTTATATAAAAGATCTTACTCAGGACAGTAGTAAATTAAAAATAACATGCATTTTGTATGATCTATCTTGTTTAAATTATTCACATTTTCGGTTTTTATGCAAGGGGTTCACAAACTTTCAACCAGCATTGTATTTTTGAGAAAATATGCTATTTCACTTACTGTAAATAGTCTCTATTGCTATGTGTGCCTAATTTTGCACTGTGTTTTTAAAGCCTCTATGAGAAAAATAAACTGAAAAAGAACTTTTGGAAACCAATTATGATGAAAAAAAATGTTGGCAAACGCTGTCACATTCTAATTTGGTTGCACAGGGTGCATCAAAGCATAAAAAATTGGTAATAAATACATTTTCCTAAAACTGTTTTTCATAACCAATGCCTACTATTAATGTTGGAAGTGGGAAATATTTACTGTCATCTTTAGAGACTTCAGTAATACAAGTATATAGTCATTCCATTGCCTAGTAAAGTCAAAATTTCAAACACCACCTTTTGTTCACCTGGGAAATATGAAATTTCGCTATCATCTATTTAATTTGTTGTCATCATGACCCATACTACAAGTTCTATAGCCCACCCTGTACTTTATGCATGTCATGCTATTTTTATCATACTATTGCAATTTATAATGATATTCATAAACAGTGTACTGCATATATAGTGCAGTTGTATGAACATATGCTTTATGGACACATGCAGTTTTTAGAACAAAGCAAATATTAGAAAATATATGACCGCTGACGCAATGCCATGATTGATAAAAAAAAGTTAGATTATATGATACAATAAACATGTGGTATGAAATGACATATATATTAAAAACATCTGGTTGAAAGAACAGGAAAAAAATACTAGAAATCAAAAAATAACACTAATCAGAAAGCCTATTTCCACAATTCAATGGCCCACTTTCAGCTTGAGGACTTGCTCATACTCATGGGGGTCACCTTCACACTATAGCATAATCACACATGGCAGGTAGACATTGTCATCAGTAGAAACCCAGGTCATGCCATCACAATTGAGTGACAACTACATTCGTTTCACTGTGTCTCTAATCTTACCTCTCCATCATAAATCACAGTCCTTTCTGTGGCCTGTCTGTCCACCCACTCTGCACGGTGTTCTTGGTCACCTCATGGGTTCACAAAAAAAGAGAAAAAAAAAAGAAATTGGAGGATGGGAAATAACTCTGGAAATTAGTCTGTGTTATCTCGGTAGGATAGCTGAGATTGTTTTGGCCAACTACATGGAGCTTAAATTCTGGATGCTGTCTGTCACTGTGAAACCATGAGATGGCCATTGAATCAGATGATTTCTTTCTCAGAATATCTGAGTAATAGATTTTTATGAAGGAAGGCGAGTTCGGAAACGCAATTACATGGTTTTAAGAAGCATGACCATTAATCTTTGAGATAAAGCATGCCTGGTAACAAGGACATTTTGCTGTTACAGCAAGGACATTGTTCTTGTTACACATGTACTTACTATAGAATGTATAAGTTGTGCCTAATTAATATCTAAAACAACAAACGTTTTATGCAGCAGATGCCCTTCCAGGTGCAACCCATCTCTGGGAAATACTCCATTTGTTTTAAAAGCTAATAGTATCTTTTTTATGTTACAAGAACGTTGTATACAACAAATTTTAACATTTTACACAAACACATAGCCTATCTAGTAAATCACGAAACTGAGAATCTTCAGGTTACACACACACAAACACACACATAGCTACAATTTTTTTTTATCAATGTCAAATATGAATAAAATGACATAATGATTGTTTTTCAGCGATGTAAATAAAATACTTCTTTCACAATGCTTACTAAAAGTGATAAAATAAATTATTTCATTTTGATGAATAAAATAAAGCAATTTCTAAAGTTTTGTACGCTGAAGAGAAAAAAATGGCTAAATAATAGTAAAACCAACAGTTAACCCACATAACAGATAAACCATAGACTGTAAATTCCTCAGTGCTTTTCATTTGTTGGTACTGTACTTCTGGGTGAAGGACATGGATGCAGCGCCAGTGCAGTGAAGGGGAGATTTGATGTCTTATACTGACATCCAGTGGTACTGCAGCAAAGAACGTTGTTTACTACCATATTAGGCTATGTAATCAGGAATATGTATTTAAGTGTACTTACATTTAAGCTCGTTTTCCATGTCATTGGCCGGAACCCAAATTCAATTCAGCAAACCCACAAACATTTCAAAAACGCACCAAACACAGCAAAAACACTAAAGAAAAGCTCTTTCCTGCCACACTCAATATGGCGGACTGCTGAGACCAGATTTGAACTTTCAGTAACGAGACGTAGCGACGTTCATGATCTGAAGAAACCAAAACTGACTGAATGGCATGTAAACTTAAGTGATGGAAGACGCAACAGATATGATTTCCCGTTCATATTGTAAAATTACTTGACGATGAATGCATGAGCAGTGCTCGTGCTGTTAGAGGATGTCGCGCGTTTCAGCAGAACTGAACTATCAAACACTTCTCGAGGTAGGTTTACTGTCAACACTAGCGAGGCAGCTTGGTTCTTGGGCTAACAAGCTAATTACCGGTAGTGTAGTATTAAGATGAAAACTTTGCCGGATGGCATTTTCAACTAGATATTTCAGTACGAGAAAAGATAGCTGTCCGGTAATAAATATCACGATAAACACCCTTGTGAGAAAATATGGGGGTCTGGTTTCAGAACCTGCTGTCAGTTTGTTTACTTTATTTTTGGTAGTGGTGATTAAATTGCAGACTACCAGAGTATTGTTGTATATCCTATGATTGTCTTTATGGTGTTGGTAGGCATGGTCATGTTAATATGGTAACATTAACTTAATTTGGTCTCATGTTATATGGGAACTATGTCATTTTGAAGTTGATTTGCCTCAGGATCATCTTGTTTACTCATCACTGTCTTCATTTTCTCGTAATAGTGTAGTTACTGCTACCCAGATGAAGTGCTTGAAGACATCAGAAATTTGTCTGCAGATTTCCCACATCTCCAGTTATACGTGGACTATTATCGTAAGTTCTTTTCTGAAAGCACATTAGTGGTATAGCAGCAGAGCCCAATGAACATGTATTGATCTTGAGAAGCAGCTCTCAACTTCAGTCCTGGCTGGGGAGCCGCCTCTCTGCACTTTAGTGTGTGTGTGTGTGTGTGTGTGTGTGTGTGTGTGTGTGTGTGTGTGTGTGTGTGTGTGTGTGTGTGTGTGTGTGTGTGTGTGTGTGAACTGAACTTTATGTGTGCATCAGATAAGAGAGAATCATAAAATGTGCAGAGTTTTCTTGATTCCCAGTTGAGTTTAATTTTGCCTTATGGAGCATCAATATTTAATGTTGAATATAATGTTCATTTTCTTACTCAGACCAGTCATTTTTTTCTTTATAAGACCATAATGTCAGTATCACCAGAAGCCACAGCAATTTGCTCTATCAGATTTTTTTTGTGGTGCTTGTTGTTGACTCTCAAAGGGCCATTAGCCACAGACTTACATTTTAAAGAATTATCAGAACCAAATTTCAGCTGTAAATAAAAAGTCACTGTTACAAAAAAATGAGACCTCAGTGCCCATAATTTCACACATACAAGGTCAACTGTAAATGTGATGTTTTTAATGATAGTAAAGGAGAAATGCTCATACAATATCACTGATTTTCATAGCAACCTTTGAAAAGGTTCACATCAATTGGATCAAGTTTCTAAATGAACAATAACAACAGACAAGGTGAAGCTGCCTTTTCCTAAAGATTAAACTGTAGAAGATCAAAGTGTAGAAAATAGACTTAGTTTCTCTCACTCAGGAGCTGCATGAGTATAATTGTTATTTACAGAGGAAGTACAATATCTGCATAACAGACTAACCTAATTCATTTTGTTGTCACCAACTCGTCCAACTAGTTTTTACTGTGTCTTGAAAACACAAAATAAGGGAAGATCTTCACACTTCAAAGGAAATTACATTACAAAAATGGGCACTATATATATATATATGTGTGTGTGTGTGTGTGTGTGTGTGTGTGTGTGTGTGTGTGTGTGTGTGTGTGTGTGTGTGTGTGTGTGTGCAGTTAAAATTTTAATTATTAGCCCACCTGAATTTTCGCCCCCCACTTAAAGTGACATTTAAAGGCTTAAGTGGGTTAATTAGGTTAACTAGGCAGGATAGGGTAATTAGGCAAGTTAGTGTATAATGATAGTTTGTTCTGTAGACTTAAAAATATATATCTTAAAGGGGCTAATAATTTTGTTCTTAAAATGGTGTTTAAAAAATTAATAACTGCTTTTAATCTAGCCGAAATAAAACAAATAAGACTTTCCCCAGAAGAAAATATTATCAGACATACTGTAACACTCTGTTAAACATAATTTAGGAAATATTTAAAAAAGAAAAAAAAAATTCAAAGGAGTTTTAATAATTCTGATTTCAAGTATATGATGTTTGGTCTGTATGTTTTAGCACAATACCTCGGTTAATCTGCAATTGATTTTGAAAATTAATTATCATGGTAAAATATTTATCCTTCACACTGTCATCCAATCACAATTCTGGATCTAAAAGCTGCCAGGTTCTGTCAGGTTTGCAAAGCCCTCTTTCCATGAGACAGAGGCTGCATCTACACCAAGCCAAAGTTTTTTCTATCCAATCTTTTTTTTTTTTTTGCCTTTTTCTAAAAAAATAAAAAATAAATACTGTAAGCAAGGAGTCATCTCAAAAGATATCTGCATACACACAAAACCATTTAAACTGACTAAAACATGACTAAAACATCCTTGCACACTGTATGTAAACAATATGTTGATGTCCAAAAACTTCCTCTTTTAAATGTTATTTTACATTAAAGTTTACTCAGAGAAACCCACAACATATTCCAATGTAACTACTTTCATTATTAAATTGCATCCACCTCATTTCATAGTTGTTAGTTACTTTTTCCTTTGTATTGCTCTTGCTGTTGTATTTCTTGTGTTGATGATACAATAGGAGTTTTTATAAATAGGATACATACCTATTTAAAACCAAGTAAAACCACACAAACAACAGTTCCGTTTGCTCTATACACATTACAAATGTGATATTGGTTTAACAGTTCAACAAATATAAAATAATATTGTATGAGTAAAATTGTAGATTTTTTTTTAATTCATAATTTGTTCATTAAGTCACTTGCTTAATTTTCAAATTAATTTGCTATTTTAAACGAATTGTTTAAATTCATTCTTGTTCATTTTATATATTTGTTTTTTCATTAATTAAACATTTTCTTGCATATGTATTTCCTAAAATCAAGTCTCTTTTCTTTCTACAGTCTATCCCAACAACGATAAGAAGAAGTTGGTTTATTTGGGTGGCACAGTTCCTGTCGCATATGAAGGTAGCTGGTTTGAGTAGCTTTAATATAACTTATTTTTTTCAATTCCTCTTTTGGCTGAAACAGTTAAAATATGTCTCACATTTTTACAAAGGTGGCAAGTACAATATTCCAGTATGCATCTGGATCCACGAGACCCATCCGAAAAACCCACCTAGGTGTTTTGTCTGCCCTTCACCCTCCATGGTGATCAACACTAAAAGCAGCAATGTGGATGCCAATGGTCGAGTTCTTCTCCACTGTCTCAGCAACTGGAAGATTGTAAGTCAGTCGGTCAGTTATTAAATGTTTACTTACTTGAAGTTAATCATTAGTACAGTCAAACCAAAAATGATTCGGGCACCAGATTTTTTACATTTTCTTTTTACCAGCGGGTGCAGGATACTATACATGTAACTGCGTGTTGGAAAATAAAGTGATATTATTTTTTTTAATAGACCATTTCAATGTGGCCATGTCATTGGCGCATGAACATTTCCTGCTTGTTGTCAAACTATTTTAATAACTGTAACAAGAGGCAATTTAATCCTAACATTATTTATCTATATATGTTTTTTTTTTTTGCATTGTCGGAAGCCATAATAATTAAAAATGTAAAACAGGAAGTACGTTGGCACCATTGTTTTTATTTACATGCCTCAAAATGGTCTACAGAATGGACTTAAAAGCAGCACAAAGTGCTGCAGGTAAGCGTTCGCCATTCTAAACACAGCTTTTAACGCCGGTTAAAGACATGTTTCACACTTGTGATATGGAAGTGGTGTTAACACATTTGTTAATCCGAAAGAATCATGTCACAAAATGCACAACACCAGTCGGTGAGAGGTAACGTTAAATAAAAATTTCAATAGTAAGAAATCTCCAAAGATATTTATCCAATCACATCTCATATATGCGGCCTTAACATAAGGTTTAAGAATGTACAGTGTAAAAAGTTAATAACTAACCAGGATTATTTGATAACTCCAAGTATTGTATGAGCAGTATGAAATATGATTAAAGATAAACCAGGATTCTGTTTATCCAGGGTTTAGGATTACCTGGGGTTAACAAATTCAAGTGTGAAAAGCCTTATTGAAGCCCAACAAAGTATTAATATTGGGTCAATATTGTCTAGAGATGTCTGAATAATTTTTTGGTTGATTGTTATCTTCTGTGCTGAGTTTGCACGTTCACCCTCTGTTCGTGTGAGTTTCCTCCAGGTGCTCCAGTTATCCCCACAGTCCAAAGACATGCGGTATAAGTGAATTAAATAGCTAAATTGGTGATAGTGTATGAGTGTGTGTTTGAGAATGTGACAATGTATGTGTGTTTCCCAGTGCTGGGTTGTTGCTGAAAGAGCATCCACTGCTTAAAACATATGCCAAAATAGTTTTCGGTTCATTCCACTATGATGGACTATGGGACTAACCAAAGGAAAATGAATGAATGAATGAATGATTGTAATCTATTGTACAATTTACCTTTCAATCAAAGCTATCTGACATTATCAAGATGAATTTGTCAGACACAGTTTATCATATTTCATTCCCACTTTCTAAATTGTAGTTAATAAATTGATATAATACCAGAAAGGTTGAAGGTGTCTGAATAAGTTTTGGTTTGGCTGTATATTTGACTCTTGAATTGAATGTTTGGTTTGGTTTGTAGGGGTGGTCAAACTTGCCAATTGTCCTGGAGGAGATGATTGCTGCCTTCCAGCGTGAAACTCCTCTGTTTGCCACATATCCAGCCCAAACGCCACAAACAAAGCACCTGCCGGCTGAACTGGTTCAACCCAATCCTGTATCCTCCTATGGCAGGTCAGTGCTTGTTTGAGTTTCAGATGCAGGCTCTGAGTTTAGCACCGTCAGTGATATTGATGTTGTCTTCACTTCACAGTTCAATACCGAAGACGTCAACAGCTCAACATGGAGTGTTGTCCTCATCTGTGCCTCAGCATGTCTGCAACAGTAAATATTGATTTTTTTTCTGAAGACTTGTTCACTACTTCAGATTTCTATTTTTTATGGAAAAAATTGTGTCGTTTAAGTATCCTTGAGATGCTGCAAAAGTTTTTAATAGTACTTTAATTCCTTTAAATGCAATCATATATATATATGACAGTTCTGTCTGGTTCTCGAATCTGATTGGCTGATAGCTGTGATATATGTAAGTAATATCAGCACCCGTACAGCCTCTTTTCCCTTAGTGTATTACTCCGACCACATACAGCCAGCAAAAAGCAGACACTACAGATCTAAAGTTTAAAAGATGCTTGCTCAGCTGTTTAACTGTCAGCTTATGATTTGAAGCCATTGCGGAAGAAAGTAGTTCCTTATACAAAAGGGTTTTGGAGACTCTCCATGGTTGATGTTGTTTTTATATACACAATTATGCCATCTAACTGTTGTATAAAGGCAATAATCCGCGTAATCACCAAGGGGTCGCAAACAAATCTAAAGGCTTTTAATTTGCATGTTGTTTATTCATTGTTTAGTATTACATGTTAACAATGTAATCACTATTTTGTTCTTCAGTAGGTTAAAGATAAAACATGGTAATTCTAATAGTTTAATAAAATTAATTTGATTTTTAGAAAATACCCGGGTGGGTCTCGACCCCCACTTTGGGAACCACTGACTTAGATTAGTAGCTGGTGAAATATTCAATCCGCTTCAAAACTTTTTTTAAACTTTCAGGCTAGGTTTTTTCAAGCCTTTGTCAAATTTTTATCATCTAGTTTAGTTTTGTTTCCAGAACAGTGGCAAATAATAACAATAAAATGTTTTTATAGTACTTAAGTACATTTTCTGTATCTGTACATTATTATAAAATCTGTATACTGACAAACTTTTACTTCACTAAATTCCAGAGCATAATTTTTACTTGACGCCATTTATCATAAACATGTTGCTCCATGTTGGTTTCAATTTGAGTAATTGTTTCTTTCTTCAAAACAAAACAGTATTATTCATCAATGCTTCAAAGCTGTTTAATGTGAATGTGGACAATCGGTATCTGTGCGTTACTGTCTAAACAGAGTAGCTTTATAAAAAATTCAACATATTTTAAATAATGCAAATTAATGCCCATGAATCCTCCTGCATAGTCAACAACAGTAGAAAAGATCAGTGCATACTGTTAAACCCTGCTGTGTACAAGCTATTCACAGTAAATAGTAGATCCTTTGAGATGGCATTTGCTTAATTGCTCTGTAATGTTGCTAAATGACAGCCTGATTCAAATCTGCATCTTATCACCACAGATCAGTGAACAAAGCTGGAATCTCTATCTTGGAAATAGCAAGCAGGAAACATGCTCGTTCATTACAGCTTCAACTTTTTTTTTGCTTTAGTGCCATGAAGTAATGTTTTAGACTTTCATTTTTGATTCCTGGCTAACGCAAAGGTTTCCTTTGCTAGCCCTACCCCAGAGTACAAAGTCCCAGATGAACCTGAATCAAGTCAGTGAAATGGAGATGAGTGGCGTAAGAAGATCATACACGCAAGAGTTGCTGGATTTTGGCATTACGTTTGGGGCTCAGTCTTCAGAGACTAGCCACCAAACAAACCCATTCATCACGCCAGCCTCAGGTAATCTGTGTTTGATGTGTTTGTGTGTGTCAATTTTGTTTTTAAATGAAACTAATTAATTAAAGATGATCTCTGCTTCAGCTCCCACCAGCAGTACTTCTGATGTAGATGACATTGACGACATGTTCAAAAGCCTTCATGTGCAAAGAGTTATCAATATGTACCAGTTGGACACCAGGGAGCAAGGTAAATAACAGCACAATAAATTTTGTAGTGTTTTTGAGCTTGTGAGGAATTAGAGGTAACAAAATGACAATCTTTGTCATTTTAAATGAAGGTTTATCTTTGATGATTTGGCCTCTTTTACAGCAACATGCATTTTGGAAGTATTTTTTCTATAAATATTTGACATATATTTTTTTAAATGGAAAGCAGAAGGTACAAGACTGTGTTTAATAGCATATAGAAAATATCTATGTCCCATTGATCCATTGTGAATGATGTAATCAAATAGAGCAGTGTTTCTCAACCACATTCCTGGAGGACCACCAACACTGCATGTTTTGGATTCCTCCTTTGTTTGACCCATTACAGGTCTTTCAGTCTTTGCTAATGAGCTGATGATCTGAATCAGGTGTGTTGGGAAATGTGCAGAGCTGGTGGTCCTCCAGGAACGTGGTTGAGAAACATTGAAATAGAGAATATTCTGACACAAAATTGTACATGTACATCTCCCTTCAACTGTAGTCATTAGCATGCCGTTACATTTTTTAATTCCTTTAAAAAAATTCTCAAGTGTTGTTTAATAGAGTAACGATTTTTTTACTTAATAGTATTTTTAACCATAATATTTTTATAACTAATTTCTATTAACTAATTTATTTAGATGTTGTCATGATGAGAGTACATCATGTTTTACTAGTTATTTACAAGATAGATTAGATTAGATTCAACTTTATTGTCATTACACATGTACAAGTACAATGCAACGAAATGCAGTTTAGGTCTAACCAGCAGTGCAGGATACAGGAATAAGTTATAAAGTGCAGTTATAGAAAAACTATGGTGATATTTACAGATGAATGTACTATGAACATTATATACAGGTTGGATAAGCTATGAACAGATTTACAATATATGAATATATGTGCAGGTTGCTATTAATAATCAGTAGTGTGCAGATAGATTAACATGATTACAAGTGTATATGTTACAATATATGAATATATGTACAGGGATAGATAAACATGATTACAAGTGTATATGTAACAATATGTGAATATATGTACAGGTTGCTATTAATAATCAGTAGTATGCAGATAAATAAGCATGATTATAAGTGTATATGTATAGTGGGTGTGTACATAATTACAAATGCCCATAAGCAGTGGGTATGCACAGTTCAATAAGTAAACAGTTCAATGTGGTGCAGTGAATGTGCAAATTTTAAACGTGCAAGTGTTAAACAGTGCAGTTATTGCGAGGAGTTTAAGTTAGAGGAGAGTGGGGGGTGTATTGGGGGGGGCAAAAGAGTCAGTGGGGGGCAAAAGAGTCAGTGTGGGGCAGAGTTCAGGAGGGAGACAGCTCTGGGGAAAAAGCTGTTCCTCAGTCTGCTGGTTTTTGTCCGGGGGAGCCTGAAGCGCCTGCCGGAGGGCAGGAGAGAAAACTGTCTGTGAGCGGGGTGAAAGGTGTCCTTCAGAATACTGCGTGCTCGGCGCAAACAGTGTTTCTTCTGGATGTCCTCTATGGCTGGCAGTGTGGTCCCTGTGATGCGTTGGGCAGTTTTTACCACCCGCTGCAGTGCCTTACGCTCAGCAACAGAGCAGCTTCCATACCAGACTGTGACACAGTTTGTCAGGATGCTCTCTATTGTGCAGCGGTAGAAGTTCACCAAGACAGCTGATGAAAGCTGGTTCTTCTTCAGTTGCCTTAAGAAGAATAGGCGCTGGTGAGCCTTCTTGATCAGGCTGGAGGTGTTGGTGGTCCAGGAAAGGTCCTTTGAGATGTGGGTCCCCAGGAACTTAAAGGATGAGACAGGCTCAACGGCCATCCCATTGATGTGGATGGGATCATGTGAGCCTGTTTGTCCCTTTCTGAAGTCCACAATGAGCTCCTTGGTCTTTTTGGTGTTAAGGAGCAGATTATTGTCGGTGCACCAAGTGGCCAGATGCTGTATCTCCTCCCTGTAGGCCGTCTCATCATTGTTGCTGATTAGACCAATCACTGTGGTGTCATCTGCAAATTTGATGATGGTGTTGGATCTATTAACAGGCCTATAGTCAACGGTAAAAAGGGAGTAGAGGAAGGGGCTCAGCACACAGCCCTGTGGTACACCAGTGTTGAGTGTGACGGTGGTGGAGCAGATGTGACCTGATCTAACATTCTGAGGTCTGTTAGTCAGAAAGTCCATAATCCAGTTGCAGAGTGATGTGTCAATATCCAGGTTCCTTAGTTTGATCAGTAACTTGGAGGGTATGACAGTGTTGAATGCTGAGCTGAAGTCCACAAACAGCATTCGTGTATAAGTGTTTTTATTGTCCAGGTGTGTGAGTACAGAGTGCAGTGCTATAGAGACTGCATCATCTGTGCTCCTGCTACGGTAGGCAAACTGATGTGGGTCCAGTGTGGGTGGCAGAGAGTCTTTTCGATGTGCCAGGACCAACCGCTCAAAGCACTTCATGATGATGGGTGTGAGTGCTACAGGCGGTAGTCATTCAGGCATGTTGGGCTGGAGTGTTTGGGCACTGGCACAATAGAGGTGGTTTTAAAGCATGTTGGCACAGCTGCTAGGTTGAGCGACAGGGTTGAAAATGTCTGTGAATACCCCAGCGAGCTGTTCTGCACATACTTTGAGGACATGCCCAGGAATACCGTCTGGTCCAGCAGCCTTACGCACATTGATACGACTCAGTGCCGTGTGTACTTCTGAGGAGGGGAGTGTGATAGGTGAGTGGTCGGTGGAGGAAGTTATCCTGGTGTAGGGTTCTTTATTGTCTCTATCAAAGCAGGCATAAAAGTCATTTAGCTCGTTCAGGAAGGAGACGTCAGTGGCTGTGGGTGTGGACTGGCTGGGTTTGTAGTTGGTGATGGCCTGGATGCCCTGCCACATGCGCAGAGGATCAGAGTTGGAAAAGGGCTCCTCTAGCTTAAGCTTGTAGCAGTGCTTGGCCTTTTTAATGCCCCTCTTCAGATTAGCCCTGGAAGTGCTGTAGGCCTGTGCATCCCCTGATCTGAAGGCAGTGTTGCGTGCCTTTAGCAGATAGTAGTAAAGTGCAAATTATAGCCTTAATTAGGTTAGCTACACTCTAAAATCCAACAGTCAACTTGATCAAATAAATTGAGTGTAGTTAATTGAAAGTTAAATCTACTAATTTGAAAAGAGTTTTGAACTCAGTGTTGAAGAAAGTAATTAGTTCATTACTTCTGCTTAAAGGGCCATGACACCATCGCTACGCAGATGATTTTGATCCCGCCCCAAAAATCATTTTAAACCCGGAAGCTGAACTTAGCTGACAAAAGCTCAAAATTATCCAGTTTTCCCCACAATTAAAGCTGACAGGTGCTAACATTGTCCTAACTGATGCTCATCACACACAAATCTGTTAAAATATCAAAATAGTACTTGAGGGTTTCGGCAACCTTTAAAAAGAGTAAGTTCATAGTACTCGTATAGGTTAGTTTTTTGTTTTTTTTTACTCAAATGGTTTGTAGCAATCGGTTTCCTCTAGCGGTTTGAGTTGCCTTAACTTATTGGGTTTTACAGTACTCAGTTGGTTTGACTTCTTTTCGTTTATTGGATTTAACTGTGCTCAAATTGCTTTGTTTACTCAAATGGTTTAAGTTCATAGTACTTATTTGGATTAGTTTTTGAACTTAAATGGTTTGTTGCTATCGGTTTTCTCAATTGGTTTTAGTTATCTTAACTTTTTAGGTTTTACAGTGTAGACTACTCTGGTTAATTAGGCAAGTCATTGGACAACAGCGGTTTGTCTGTAGCCAATCAAACAATAATCTTAAAGGGGTTAGCAATATTAATCTTTAAAATATTTGTTTATATTTTAAAAACTGCTTTTTATCTTAGCAAGTATAAAATAAATATTTATTTTTCCAGATGCATTATTTTATAGGAAATACTATGGAAATTTTCTTGGTCTGTTAAACATCACTTGTTAGGGAATATTTGAAAAAGATTTTTTTTTAAAAGGCTATGTCCTATTCTTGCTACTTGCAATTAAGAAGACTTGCTAAAAACAAACCCCTTCCTCTTTCTTCTGATTCACTGCATACATGTTACACATATGAAACTGCATATAACGTTTAAGTCATGTGATACAGTACAAATAATATACACTACACAATATTCAAAAACCAAATCCCATTTAAATATTAAGAAAAAATATGTTGTGTATGGTTCCAACACTGATTCTACCATGTCACCAAATATGAAACCTTGTCTGTTAAACATTTCCCATAGTATGTGTTTGTGTTTGTTTAGAAAAGAAAGTGATTTGACTATATAGTCAAACTGTCAAACAACTGTTGTACATTTTGTGATATGAAGCATAACACTGCTAACTACGGCGAGGAGCCCACATTTACAGCAACATAAGTACTTTTCCATGGTAACTCTGTCCAGATTTAAAATACTTTTCACAGAGTGAATCTTGAGTTCTAAATTTTCCATTTTGCTTAAAATCTTTTCTTATGTTTTGAAATTTTAAAAAAAGTTTGAACGTTAAATAATATTTCCAGATTGTAATAGTGTTCCTTTCACAGCATTTGTTTAAAATAATAATAATGCTTTAATTTTTCTCCTGAAGATGTTGTTCTTGCTGGAGGAGCGTGGCAGGATTGTGTTGGTGGTGCCAGGGTTCACTCAGGTTTGGCAGATGAGCATCACAAGGTAGTGGTTAGTGGACTTCCTGTGGGCGTCTCTCCCAGCAAGATGAAGAATAAGCTCACCATCTACTTCCAGAGGAGGCACAATGCAGGCGGAGAGGTTCTGGACATCAGATACCCTGCAGCACAGCCAGACCAGGCCTGGGTGCTCTTCAGAAACCGGAGAGGTGATATGGGATTTTTTATATTATAATATAAATGTAGCTATTTTTTTATTTCATTTTGATAGATCCATAATACTGTACGGAATCAGTATATTTTTACTTTTTGTTTTCAATTATTTGAACAATTTCAACATACAGGTACAACTTTTTTTTACAGAAATAAGTCAAATAAAGTACAATTAAATAAATAAAGAAGAGTACAAACAGATCACCAAAGACGTCACATACAGCATTTACAATATTCTCGCACTTTAATGCTGTTTGATGATGGTTATAAAGTTACATATTTCATAGGGTTTACAATCCCTTTGAGCCCCTTTCCTTTAGCATAATGAATATGATCAGCAACAAATAATAAAAAATTAAATGATGGTATTGATGGTGCTGCAGATGTATGTCCAAAATGCTCAGTAAATACCTCACAAATTGTACATATTGGAAAACAAGAAACATGGCTCACTCATTGCAAACTTAGGGTGCTTTCACAGTATTATTTTTGGTCCACACCCATATTCATTTGACGTCAGAGTACGATACATTTAGCTTGTGTGAACACTGTCTACTGAACTCAGGTGCGCACCCACAAACCGTACATGAGTCCGGCCCGAAAGAGGTGATCTAGGGTACAGTTTGTGCCAAATCTGGTGCGGTTCACTTCTGATATGATTGCAATCACAGCAAATAACAGAAGTAAACCACCAAGTAGGCATGGCACGATAACCGGTTTTAAGGTTAACTGCGCTTTGGAAAAGTCAAGGTTTTAAAATTGCCAACATATGCTGTTATACCGTTCCTATGGTATATACAAGTTTGTTTGTTTTGTTGTTTTGTTTTGGGGTGGGGGGTTGTGTGTGTGTTTTTTACCACTATTTTGTTTAGCTTGTTAGGGCAACAATATCTCCAGCAGAAAAAAACCCTCCATATCAAAAGCTACTGTTCCAAAATATTTTTAATGTTTCTTATAATAAAATATATTGTGTTAAGTGGGAAAAAGTTGTTGTTTTTTTTACCCAGACATGTTAAAAAAAGCATATTTTTGAGAAGTAATTATAATACTGTGAAACCGGAATATTTTTATCCAAGGTTATCACAGCCTCAAAATCTTATATCAGGCCATCTGTAACTCCAACTGTACAACAAACTTTAATTTTCATAACATTCATTTATGTGTGCATGTATGTCTGTATATCACCTGCCTTGGCGACAACCGGGACCGACCCACTGCAAACAGTGATAATGTTTGTTTTTCCCCACCAAAAACGAGTTCTGCAGACATCGTGTGATGTTCTGAATGTTTTTATGAACTTTTTGTGCGACAGATAGACGCAAGTGGCTCTCTGTATTTTGGTTTTAGTAACAAAAGCAAAAGATTTGTTAAAGCATAATGACCATGATATGCATACGTCTCCATTTTGACGCTTTACTTTCATGGCCATCACCTAGCAACAGCTGTACACAAAACAGCAGCAAGATGTCGCAAGTGTACTGGGGTTCAGAAGGAAAAAAGGCGATGTGAACACAAACCATCCGAGGGGGGAGAATCCAACTTGGGTTTGGACCAGGCAATTGGACAAAGTGTGAAAGAACCCTTATACACTATTCGTTTACCTGTATGCAATAACCATTCTGACCAATTCCTATAGAATTTATTCATAGCGTGTCTTAGAGAACAGTTGGTGGATTCTAGTTGTAGCTTTTTTACTAGCAACCAATAACACTTTGAGAAGGTATTTGTCTTGAGAATTCAAATCGGTTGCCTAAGTAAAGAAGATGAGGAACCAGTAGTTTTGAAGAATCTCTTGAATTATTCAGTGATAAATACATTTTAGTGGTTGCTCATCTCCACCTTTTGAGGTAACAATGTAAAAGGTATAACCTTCTTTTTAAACATCAAATTACTTTTAAAAAAGGATTGTTAATATTACTGCTAAATTCAATGTTTATATCCCCACCAAAAAAACTTTTACAATATTTCTGTGGTAATCTGAATGTTTTTGACAGAAATAGTAATACTAAAACTAAAGACTGCAGCTGCTGTAACCATCACAGCGGCTCTAAAAGCTCTCTCTATCTGATCTTTTATTTTCTTAAACCCCTACACGTGCTTTACTCTCATCTGATGCTGCTCTTTCACTGCTCAGTCAACGTGGCTAAAATCTATGATAGCTTGGGGATTCTCTTTATTGGCACCCAAATTGTGAAACTTTTCCTCTCTGATATTCGCAGTGCAGAATCCCTTAGAATTTTTAAATCATTACTTAAGACATACTCTTTTATTGTAGCTTTTATTTGATTATTAGATTTATCTTTCTTTTATGTGTTTTTAATATTTTTTTTGCATTCATCCTGTATGTATCTTTTACTGCTGCACATTTTATATCTGTAAAGTGCCTTGAGATGCTACTTTTAAAGGTGCTTTATAAAAATTAGGTTTGTTATTATTATGAATCAAACGTTTTAAAACGATTTAAATTTTAAATTTACCACTGTGGTCTTCAAAGGTTTAATGAACATAATTTACAATAATATGTGTGTTTGAACTGAGATTGCAATTTTTTTATTACAAGTAATAATGTTTTTTCATATAAAAAAATACTTTTTTATTTAAACACTTTCATGCTTTTTCTTCCCAGATGCAGAGCATGTTTTGAAGCAGCCTGACAGGAAGATTGGCATCAATGAACAACATTTTTCTATTCAGCTGAAGAAGTTTAAGGACATGGAGGTAAATGGAGTTCAAATCAAGATGTTTATTTGACCAGTTTTTCCCCACTCCTCTACTTATTCTTTGCACTAAACAAAGAATCTACCGTTAGATCCCAGGTGGCATCCAAGGTGACAAGGCTGAAATGTTTAGGAGCATCATGAGTCTGGAGGGATGCAGCTTCAGCTCCACAGATGTGCTGGAAGCAGTGCAGTCGTGCCGAGATCTTCCATCTGCTCTCAAATATCTCTGCCACGATTGTCCTATTTGCCAGGAGCAAGTATCCTTCAACAGGGTGAGAAGAACATATTAAGTGTAGTCTTGATGTAAAAAAAAAAAAATATGGAACCACTTTTAAACTTTACCTTTATTGGTTATGCATTGGATGATTATTTTTGTTAATAAATAATAATTATTAATACCCTATTAATAAGCTTTTATTTGAAATAAAATGTATATATTATATTATGTTATATTATAATATATTTTATTAAAATATTATATAAAAACTTTTTTAACTATGTAGAAAAAATATTGACAAGGAAGGCATTTTCATTGTTACAGTATTAGGTTTCAAATAAATGCTTTTAAACTCCATTTATCTAAGGGTTTTAATATACATGTACATTATTGGAATCTTCTAGAAAAGAAATTTTCTGCTTTGTGTTACTCTGCGTTTTGGTTCTGTTGATGTAAATTGCAGATGATCCCTAAAACTGCATGCGCGAATATCAAACCTAAAGCCAACTTTACTGTGCTAGGAGGTGATTGGTTTTCTAAAGTATTTCCTAGTTCACGCTCGAGGGCTCGTGCAGCTTCACAAAGCCGCTGAGGAACAGACTTCGCCATGTTTATGCTGCCAAATGTCCCAAATAGTCCTCGCTGCAGCTGTGACGACATAACTTAACCCGCCTTGCAGCAACGGCAGCCGTCTGTGGCTTTCATTCGTTTCATTTCATTTCAAATCGGCTTTCATTCGTCGCGATGTGTTAAATGAAAATGCATTATGTTTTTTTTCATTTTCATTTTCGTTCTGCAGCAAACATTGCACATATGTCTTGGAAAATGCTAACTGAAATACAGAAATACACTGCCATTTACATATTGCATTATCGTTTTGCGTATTACATTTCAGAATTAATTTTGCTACACACATCCCATGCTGTTATGCTGAAAATGTAATCCTGCGTTTCCTAGACGTGAGTGTAAATGCATTTAGGACAAATAACATTTAAATGATCATTTTGCTACAGTTTCTGCTTGTACTTTATTCACATCAAATTCAGCTTGTGTATAGCATTTTCAATTTAATTTTGCAACTTATAAAGCTTTAAAATGCGGATACAATTTACATATTAAAACAGTGTTTGAAATGATAAATGCAAACAATGTAATTTAATTTACATTTTCATTCTGCACCAAACATTGCTCATATGTCTTGGAAAATGCTAATTCAAATACAGAAATACATTGCCATTTAACATATTGCATTGCCATTTTGCATATTACATTTTGAATTGAATTATGCTACTCATACGTTTCCATATAATATACATATACATATATAAAATTAAAAATAATACTTTATTTAACCGTTATTCATTTTTAATCAGTATTTATTGTTATATTTCTAAATTTTTATTTTAAAGTTTTTATTTTTTATTAATTTTATAAGTTAACAATTATGTAAGTTTTTAAGCCGTGAAGGCAACCCGGTCATCATGCACAAGTGAATAATACACAGCAGGATCTCTTTCAGTCCTAAATGTAGTATCTGCCTGTGTTCTCCTCCTCAGATGGTCACCATGACACACTGCTCCTGTACGTTCTGTGAGAGCTGTTTTAAGAAGTACTTTTCCTCTGTCATTAAGGAGAAGAATATAGTTCATGCTGTGTGTCCTCTCTGTAATCTTCCTGATGTACGAGGAGGCCGCAGGGAGGACACCATGGAGTACTTCAGTCTACTGGACACACAGGTGTGGGGCTCTTTAAATTCTCTCTAAAATCGAAATTAATATGTTAGACTTAAAGTTATTCACCTTATTCTCCGTACACGAGCGGGCGCAGCCATTTTAATCCTTTTGGCTCGAGACGTCCGGTCTCATTCACTTCCATTCATTTTTAGACATTAAAAACGTCTGAAATTAAACATTTGAAATTAGATCACACATCCAACAAAGCTGCACATTTTAGATGTTGACCTTTAAACATAACATTTGTTTTGTTGTTTGTTTCTGATTTATTGTCAAATCCCATATGAAATTAAATAAGGCATATGACTAAATGTAAATATTTTGTATGTGTAGATCAGGTATTATTTGGACTCCCAGATTCATGAGCTTTTTCAGAGGAAACTTCGAGACAGAGCACTGCAGGAAATGCCCAACTTCCGCTGGTGTGCACATGTACGTTTCACCATTCTAAGATACTTTAGTGTAATGTTATAAACGTCTGTTTATATTTAGGTCAAACTGTAACTGTTTTGTATTTTAGTGCTGCTTTGGGCTCCTTCATGAAGCAGACAGGCTGAGAATGGACTGCCCCAGTTGTGGGAAAAGCACATGCTTTAAGTGTAAAAGGCCGGTAGGTTCTGCATTCACAAAATGCTGTGTTATGCTTTGCATCATACTGTATGCTTTCACATCAAGAACTATAAATAAAGGTATAACCACATTGGCATTCGCAGCAGCACATGGTAGTGTTCATATTATAAGAAAGCACTACAGTTTTGTCATCTGCTGCTTTAATGCTCGAGCAATTTAAAATCTGGTGGATTCGGATCAATTATCAATTATTTTATCATTTATCAGCTAAAAAGTTTTTTTTCTGAAGGTGATTTCAACAATATTATTATTCTGTATCATTGTCATTATGGTGTAGTGTGGATTTTGATGTTTAAAACTATATCTAATTTGTGCAATTGTTGGTTTAGCAGGGTTTACACTGGGACCTAAAAAGTTTTCAAAAGTCTTAAAATTTCTTAAATTTTAAAATCAAAATTTTAGGCCTTAAAAAGTATTAATTTTCCTTTGTTTGTGTATAGACGTCCAGTCTGGCCAAAAACCATACAATCACCAATAATCCATCTAAAAAAACATTAAACCTTTCATTCTAAATTATTATTTTAACTCTAATAAGCATAATGCTTTAATTATTTTCCTTACAGTAACATTTGTTTAAAAGTGCCTGGACAAACCTGGACAGATTGTTGTGCATAGATTTAGTTAATTATAGTTTTCCAACGTTTAAATTTGTTTATTGTACATATTTTATATATATATATATATATATATATATATATATATATATATATATACATAAGATATATATCTAAGAATATAAGAAGTTTGCTATAAGAAGTTTGTGTTGGAAAAAAGTGTATGGATACAGATAAAGCTTGCTTGTTCTTACACAAGATTTAAAATATTTTTGCTAAGAAATATCTAAAATATAAAAAAATATATTATTCATTTATTATTGTATTATTAAATGCATTAAATTATAATCATCATTTTTGATAGGGAAAATAAAAATCTAATAAAAAAGTGAACAAAATGAAAAATTTCTTAGCCTTTAGCCCTTTATGAGTCTAAAACTTCATTCATAATGGTCTTAAAATGTCTTTAAAAGTTTTAAATTTAACTTGGTGAAACCTGCAGAAACGCTGAGTTAGTCTTCAGACCAAAGTCCTTAAGTTGTCATAAAAAACATTTATGTTTTGTGTTAATATTAACTTTTGAACTTAATTTTTTAACACTACTGTTTAGAAGTTTGAGGTTAGTAAAATTGTATTTCTTAACTTTGATCAAAAGCAAAAGTTAAGATGTTTAGTTGCTAATTTAAATATTATTAATGTTAAAACTTTTTTCCTTAATGTTTTATGGAAGGAAAAATTCAGCTTGGTAAATTTCTGTTTAAGATAAATAGGGAGTTATTTTAAATTGAAATAATATTCACAGTATTTTACTGTATGTTTTGGAGTAAGTTAATAAAAAAATTTTTTTGAAACTTTAAAGTCTTATTTGTTTTATTTCGGCTAGAATAAAAGCAGTTTTTAGTTTTTTTAAAGCCATTTTAAAAGCTATATTTTTTTTTCGATGGTCTACAGAACAAACCATCTTTATACAAAACTTGCCTAATTACCCTATCCTGCCTAGTTAACCTGATTAACATAGTTAAGCCTTTAAATGTCACCTTAAGCTGTATAGAAGTGTCTTGAAAAACATCTAGTCAAATATTATTTACTGTCATCATGGCAAAGATAAAATAAATCAGTTATTAGAAATGAGTTATTAAAATGAGTTATTAAAACTATACTGTTTAGAAATGTGTTGAACAAATTTTTTCTGTTAAACAAAAAGTGGGGAAAAAATAGGGGCCTAATAATTTAGGGGGGGGCTAATAATTCTGACTTCAACTGTCTAATATAAACATAGGGCTTTAACATTGTGTATATATAAACAAACTTAATTAACTTAAACATAACTTATAAACTTAAGGAGGGTTTTAATATTATAACTTGAGAAACACTGGCCATATAAGTGAAAGAAATCCAATAAAAACGTATTTACATTGCTTAAAGAACGACAATGCAAAAAAATACAGTGATTGAAAGCTAAGAAATTGAAATATGTGAACAAATCACACAGCTTTTTGAACGTCAGGTGCATTACACAAGTTTAGTGAAATCACACATCAACAGAAAACCTCAAATATGAAAAGATTGATCCTCAGAATTAAGAATCCACATCAGTATTGATTATAGAAATGATAAAATGTTTGCCTGACAAGTAAACATCTGACCTAAACAATTCTTACTATTGGGCCTCTGCATTGTGAGGGCAGTTCTCATATTTTATAGATGCTGTTTTATTCTTGGATGCTTGTTTTCCAGTGGGCTCCACAGCATGAAGGAATCTCATGTGAGAAGTTTAAAGAGTGGGAGCAACTCAACAGCCCCGAGTACCAAAACTCCAGGCTAGAGCAGCTCCTCAGCAGGAACAAAATAGGTGAAACACAAACTCTTGCTGTAAAGTATCTAACTGGAGCTGTTCCCAGGTTGTAATGTTTTACTTGCCTCTTTCTAGACTGCCCAAAATGCAAATTCCGCTTCTTCCTGGCCAGAGGAGGCTGTTTGCATTTCAGATGCACTCAGTGCCAGCATGAATTCTGTGGTGGCTGCAGTCAGCCGTTTAAACAAGGCTCTGTGAGTTTACTTGTCTCAGCAGTTGTTATTGTTGTTAACAGAGCTCTGTACCAAATAACAAGCATCTGTTGTCTTTGCAGACCTGTAATTTTTCCATCGAGTGCGCAGCTAAAGGGTTACATGCGCACCATCCTCGAAACTGCCTATATCATCTGAGAGACTGGAGCGTCCCGCGACTACGTACCTTGCTGCAGGTGACAGAACTTTTATCTGTGATCTAGCATGAACAGGACACTACCATCATATCCTGCTCCTGTTAAATATTTTTTTTTGTTTGTTTTTCAGCGCTATGGAGTATCACATCCGCTCATGTTTAGCCCCAAACATCCAATGGGGAGACACTCTAAAGGTACAGTTTGTATGCCTATATCTAAAGTCAGATCAAGTTACCTTTATATAGCACTTCATGCAATGCAGATACAAACTAATTAACAAAGAAATAAGAGAATCAGTGGTCAACTGAATATATTTTCTTCATTATTTTATTATATTCTATATATAGTTTAAATTTTTTATGTTGATCATGTTTTCTGATATGAATGGGGTACATCATTCTGTTTAAATCCATGTAAAGGATGAGTCAAAGTACTTTGAAAGTATTTAAAAAAGTAGTCCGAGTGGCGTTTTATACTTTACAGCCAAACTCTGCTTGCATCCAATTTCTTACCAATACCACCTAAACATACAAAAATCATTAGGAAGTCATAAAATGTTTAAGTGAATTACAGGAGTGTTCATATTGAGCTGCGATTACATTAATTTTGTGACATAAAAGCTAGTTTAAATGGTTCCTAAAGCTCCTCATTGGTTTCAAACTGTCCTAGAGCGCCATCTGCTGTTAAAAGTTAAGCCTAAAATTCATTCAGGAGAGAATACCCATACTCTTCTCATAATCGAGAGCTCTAGTTTAAATACATTATATAGTATGTGAAATGTAATGTTGGATTCACACCATATGTGAATGCAAGCATTCCCATGAGTTGATTACCTACAAATTCAATTCAAATCCAAAAATAGAATACAATTTCTACTGGGCGGGGCAAATGATGCAGTGTGGCGCTGGTGTACTACAATTTTAATGAAACTGACTGAATTTACAAAAAAGGAATTTAAACCCTAAATTTATATTAATAATTGAATTGTCTGGGCGCCAGGTAGACCTAAATCTACCAAATGGAGTACGATAACAAAAATGATTAAACTGATAATTTATCTGATGGTGCTTTATCATCACCAGCTACACACAAATGTTAAATAAAAATAAAACACAAATAAATGTTCAAAGTAAGTAGAATTCACTTTAAAGTCCTCACAGTCAATGTTGAGTGTGAAACGTGTAGAAAACATGTTCACGGTCTTTTGTAACAGTTAATTTTTTTGTAGAAAAACAACAAACTTTATAGTCTCAGGGTTGAACAAACAGTTCAAACAATGTATCACTTCATAATGTATCCCACAAAGTTATAAAAAATTATTCTTCATACCCAATTGGTTATTTCAGTTCATATTGTGTGGTCCATGTAGCGATCGTCACAGTGTAATGTGTGATCTGTTTAAATTACCAGCATAAATGCACAGAATTTGCCTCAATCGCGTCTCCTGCACAAGTTCGAAACATTTAGGTTGATCTGAAAATTCCTGTCGGGTGGCGCAGTGGGTAGTGCTGTCACATGCGGTACAGGTGAATTGGGTAGGCTGAAATTGTCCGTAGAGTGTATGAGTGTGTATGGATGTTTCCCAGAGATGGGTTGCAGCTGGAAGGGCATCCGCTGCGGTAAAAACATGTGCTGGATAAGTTGGTGGTTCATTCCACTGTGGCGACCCTGGATTAATAAAGGAACTAAGCCGAAAAGAAAATGAATAAATGAATGAAAATACATATCAGGTGAAAACATTATGTGAGTAATCCAGAGAGAGTGATGTAATACACATCCCATTTACATCTTATGTAAACCTAGCATAATAGATATAATCTTATATAACCTAGCATTGTTACTACCTACAACTTATTACTGCCTACAGCTCTAGTTTTGTTATCCAGCTAATGTCAGTTCAAGGTTGATTCAGATCATTTTTTTAACTGTGCTAAATTTGCAAAATTCATCATTTATGAAACTTTGAGTCTGTAAAAAAAATTTATTTGTCAATGAAATAAATACAAACAATATTACTGAATTTCAAGTATCTTGAGGGGACAGTTCAGTCAAAACGTAAAATTCACTCACCCTGAACTTGTTTTCAAGAGGTTCCAAATTAAATATCCAGAAAATCTCTGGATCAATTTACCGGTAAAAAAAAAAAGGTGTTTACACGGACACAGCATTTCTGGAATTTTTCTGGAAAAGACCATTTACACATCCTTTCCAAAATACAGGTAAATTCTGACATCATTAACCAGAAATGAGCTCTAAACGGGTGTGCTTGTGTTCGACAACATAGAAAGGGTCGGGCTTTTGTTGATGGTTTCACTTTTATTTAAAGCATTTAGCATTCATGCATTCATCCCGGAGACATCCAAAAGCAGAAGCGCGAACCGCAGCTAAATGTTTACACACTTGACTACATTACAAGTTCTGTGGATGGATAAGTATTGTTAACAACTTTGATGAAAACATATAGAGGAACACTTTCACATGTCAAGATGTACATAATATGTGTGTGTGCTGGTGCTCACCGGTTGCTTCACGTGCACATGCGTCAAACAGCTGAAGCAGAGCTTGAAGGTAAACAAACAGCGGTTTATTATACACGTAAATGACATCTGAACTTGTAATACTGCTCTTACACCATTTCTCCATTTGTCATTGAAATAACGCCGTAGGTAGTTGGTTAATTTGTGTAAAAGGTCTACCGCCACAGCTGGAAAAAAACCTAAAGGAAACACTGATGTGTCTGGAAAAACCTTCAAAGGCTTTTATTTTCATAAACAGCTCGGATGTGAATGTGTCTGTGTTCTGATTTGCTGGAGTAGATGTCTCACGTCAGAGCGTTCTAATCATGGACGCACTCTTTCCTGCAGTTTTCCAGCCAGAATTCCAGCAAATTAATGTTACAAATTCACTTTCTGGAAAATTGCCGAAACAAATTTACCAGTATTTTTAAAAAGGGCCTGTTCACACATTATCCCTTTCTGGAAATTTGCTGGTAATATTCCAGAAATGTCTGTATGTGTGAAAGGGGCTATTGAAACTACCAGTTTGCAACTTTCTTCAAAATACTTTTTATGTACAACAAAAAGTCAAACAGGTTTTGAAAAGTGGAGGGGAACAGTGACAGAATTTTCATTTTGGGTGAACTTTCACTTTATAAGTACTTCTATTTAAAATTATATGCTTACTGACAGTTCAGATAATGTTCAAATGTGTCCCTCATAGGCATCTGTGGTGTAATGGAATTCCAGGAAACAGGAGCTGTGAAAGAAGAGGCATGTGGACGACAAGCTTTCCCAGAGTACAGCGGTTACTGCACGTAAGGCATTCTAGCTCTGCTAATCCTTCATTCTGTGAAATATATTCTCCTGAGAATAAAGCAAAAACCCAGAGATATTCTCACCTTCAGGTTGCATTATAAAGAGGTTCTGGTGGAGCTGATAAACAGCAATGGACTGGACCCTGTGGTACTGTTAGATGGGGCAGAACTGAGGGCAGAAATGGACCGCTGGAAAGTGCCACTTCCAGAAAGACATCCTTTGGAGCCGGATCAGCGGTACGATGACAGACTTCGACAGGTTAGTGCTCGCTGGATTTAAATCATTCACTTTACTAAAGAGAAGGGTTAAGTGGGATGTTTAGTTCCTCTGACTTATAAATGATATGTTCTAAGTTCAATTTATATTTACATACAATAGTTTGACATGAGAAAAGCTGTTGGAAAATATCAGTGTTCATTTTGTCTATGAAAATGGTTGGACACAAATAGAATTTTGTATTTGGTCTGCTGCGCTAGTAATATGACTAAAACAGTGAACAGTGCAATGCTGAAATGATGCATTACATTATAAAAGTCATTATAAATAAAAGATTGCATTTACATAAACATTACACTATTGTATACAAGATAATCATTCGTAAATATCTCACATTTTTAATTCTAATAGTATTCATATGCAAAGTCTTTATTATATGACACTTCAAAATTAGAAAATTATATTGTAAGAAATTATATAGTAAAATGGCCCATGAATTAGTTTTTAGATTGATGCTGTCAGACGATTCATCTCATGCAAAATAAGTTTAAATTTACACAATGTGTTCACTGTGTAGATTTATTATATGTTTTTGTATATGTTTATATATTTAGATTTATGATTTAACTTATATCTAATAATCTGTAAATGTTTTTGTTTTGATATATGAGTGTTGGGGGTGAAAAAGAAATTTAATCCAAAATTTGTAACTATCGCAAAGAGATCACCTCTTGTGTCAATCAGATCACATGTATGAAAGCATTTAGGCTTTCCTGTAAAATATAATGATGATGTAAGAAGATGTGGTAGGTTATTCAGGATGTGGTGGGTTTCTTAGGTTATTAAAGGTGTTTTCAGTCACTAGTTAAACCTGCATCAATCAGTGTAAGCTGCACGATTAATTATTAAAAGATTAGGATCTCAACATCCACACAAAACAAATAAAAAATAATGGTGATTTGCATATGTTAAATAATCATTCCAATCACTGCATTCAAATCTGTTTCAAAAATCAAGAATGAGATTCAGTCTTTAGTCTTTTTAATTATTTATGAATAGTTTGCAAACAGTTAAATAACGCAGAAGTACTGGGAGAGAACAGTTTATAGTTTAGATACAACCACTGATGTTTATGGTAAAGATTAAAATCATCATCACATGCATTTAACTTGACTCAAAAATGAAAGTTGTAGGCAGCAATTAGATTATTTAACCAGTAGGTGGCGACAACCAGCCATCAAAAATATGCCACTAAAAAATTCTACAGAAGGGAGACATCTACCAATGAAACATGAAGTTTTATGAGTGAATAACTGAATCATTTTTGAAAATGAGACGACAAATTAATTTGGGTTGTACAAATTATGTTAGATTTACACATTTAGCGTTATCAGAAACAGTAGTAGTAGCAAATAATTTTTCACACTAAATTATTTGTTTAGCGTGTTTATTCTAAGTTTTTTCAAGGTTTTACAATAAATCAAAGGTACTGAATATGTCACGATATAATTTTATTCAGCTGAATATTTCTTAAATTTATTTGAAATAACATGACAGATTCTCATTTCTGTTTGTTAAAACCAAAAGTGACTTGCAGTACTGTTTTTGTAATAAATAAAAAACAACTTACATTTGTCTTCTCTGTTTTTGGCTGATCCAAAAAATGGTAAAAATCTCTGACTAAAAAACCATAATGTGATCCGAATCGTGAGATTTGTGATTTGTTACACTTATGAGCGAGATTTAAAGCACAAACATATATTATGTAAAAACAAACTTTTATCTGGGATGCAATTAATCGTGATTTATCTTTGTCCAGCACTAATAAATTTGTATATATAAATACAAACATACAAAGTAGATTTTTATTTTAGGTATGTATAAATTAAATTTCAAGAATTGATTTGGAACATTTTGTTTTAAACCAGCAAGAATCCTATAATCTTCATTGCCACTATTTTTATAGACCTACAACCTACTTGGAGTTTTATATGTGTGGGATTTTGCTGAGGTAAAGAATCCTGAAATAAGACTTAAAAAGAAACACTAGCTGAAGTGTCATAAAATAGATTTTATGGACAGAGTGTGAGGGTGAGACTGTTGAATTACCAGCACTAGTTCAAGTCAGACAACAGATCATGGTGTTCATGGAGCTGATACTAGCAATGAGAAAGGCAGACCTTCCAGGGTACGAGATAAAATGAACTGTCAAAACTTACTGCCAGATTCTGGAGGACAAATTCTTCAAACTGTGGGACACCAGAAAATGGTGCTGATGCCACCATCTCCCACCCTGAAAGGTTCAACCTGCAAAAAGAATCTATTTTATTCTGACACTTCAGTTTGTGAGGTTTCAGGATTCTTTATCTTCATAAAGTCTCAAAGAATCTGACACAGTGTTCTTCTGGAGACTGCAAATAGACTGCAGTTCTGCGGTGGCCTTGGCTATGGCGTTGCCTCCTCCTTGTGGGCATTTTAAACTTTTTTTTTTTTTACTTTTTAGTGTGATTTACATCTTGAAACGCGCATCAAAAAATAACAACATGAAATGTTTAGATTTTGTAGTTTCACTGACACCGATTTCTTCATTCTTGATGATAGCTCCTAAAATATATTTATTCACAATATTTTTTTTTAAATACTGTTTGTTTATATGATGCCACTATTGTAGCATCAACGATAAATATATTGTTTTCAACTAAAGGCTAAGCTTCATTTACATAATTAATTTGATTATTATTATTATTCATTCATTCATTTTCTTTTCGGCTTAGTCCTTTTATTAATCCAGGGTCACCACAGCGGAATGAACAGCTAACTTATCCAGCATGTTTTACGCAGCAGATGCCTTGTAGCCGCAACCCATCACTGGGAAACACCCATACACTCTCATTCACACACATACACTGCGGACAATTTAGCCTACCCAATTCAACTATACCACATGTCTTTGGACTTGTGGGAGAAACCAGAGTACCCAGAGGAAACCCACACGAACACGGGGAGAACATGCAAACTCCACACAGAAACACCAACTGACCCAGTCGAGGCTCGAACCAGCGACCAAGTGCTACCCACTGCGCCACCGCATCGCTCATTATTATTATTATTATTATTTATTATTTTGCATTATTAGTCATGGGTAAGTCATTAATTATATGTTTTTTATTTATTTATTTATTTATTTAGAAAGTACCACCCAAACATTTTTATATACATACAATTCTCATATCCATACCAATAATTCCCAATATTTTTAATTAATTTAGACTGCAGTGTTTAAAAGCAGAATACTAGAAAAAGGATTGTTTTGTTGATTTGCAGGCCAATCTTGGAAGAAATGTCCCAAAACATTTATACACACACACACACACACACAAAAACATAACCTACAGTTTTATGCAAAAGTTTGGGCACCCCTCTTTTTTCTGCATAGTAATGTGCTCTTTTTTTATAAGAGAAGATCACAGTGAAATGCTATCTGCTTTCTAGTGAAAGCTATATAATGTCATATTTTTCAGATAGTAATTTACAGTGTAGCAGTATTCAGATGTATGAAATTAAACTGCTGTGCAGAAGTTTGGGCGCCCTCTGTTTTGTGTGAATTTCAAAACCTGTAGTCACATAATGCTGATTGATCACAACCCAAAGTTGATTTGAGCGAAGCTGCACTTTTCTCCACATAGACTTCCATTCATACGCAAGCTTGTGTGACAAGTTTCGCAGTTCGATGCACTGGAAACTTCAAGCTTGCTAGACTCTGGCCTGCGAAATCGCATAACATGGTTGCATGAGACCAATCCAAGACCAAAACATGACCTTTCTGGACAGAAATTAAAATATATAGCAATCGCTCGCTTTTTAAATGTCTAATCATCTTGTTTATTCTTGCCCATTTTCGCTCAAATGTGACCGCAGCTTAACTCGGTGAACCTTAACAATCCTAACACAGGTGCAACCAATCATGGAAAAGGATATTTAAGATAGCTGATTGCTGGTTGTTCTTCTCCTGAAGCTGCGGTCGCACTAGAGTTTGTGTGTGCGAAATTCTGTCGTACAGCACTGCAAAAAGGGGAGGGATTAAACAAGATTATTAGACATTAAAAAAAGCGAGCGATTGCTCTGTTTTAAATTTCTGTCTAGAGAGGTCTTGTTTTGATCCTCGATTAGTCTCACGCAGTCAAGTGATGCAATTGCCGTTCAGAGTTCACCAAGCTTGAACTTTGCACTGCAGCAACCTGCAAAACTTGACGCTTGACCCTGCGTTTCCAGTCTGACGCATTCGCGTGCGTATAAATGGAAGTCTATGGGGAGAAAAGTCAAGTGTGACCGCAGCTTTATTGTGAACCTGAAAGTAGCAACATGGAAAACTCAAAAAACTTCCTAAATGACCTAAAAACTAGGATAATTCATTATTATGAATTAGGAGAAGGATGCAAAAAGCTATCACAAAAGTTTAAAGTATCTCCACAGTCAGAAATATAGTAGGAAAATGGAAGGCCACAGGAGCAGTTCTTGTGAAGGAAAGATGTGGTAGGCCAAGAAAAATATCTTAAAGGCAAAGGCGAAGAATGGTTAAAATGGTAACAGACAGACCAGTCTTTTTTTGACTAAAATGTGGAAACATTTTAATAATAAATGTACGGCTTTTTGCTAAAGTACCATTGGGATATTGTCATTTTAATAGTTTCTGATATAGATGTTTTTGTTCTAAAGGTCCTGAGCATAATCACTTATACAAGCAAATAAGGGTGAAAAGGTTCATATTCCTGTTATTAAAAAACAAACATTTTTACCAAAATGCATGCTGCCTGCATTAATGGCCAAAAAGATTAAATAAAATACAAGTAAAAATACCAAACTGTAAGCTAAGAACTACAAGGGTTAATAATTATATTTTATTTAGGGGCGTTTTTTCACTCTCATCCCTTGTTACCAATTACATTCACTTATTAATGATTGCACCTAAAAAGAACAGTAGTCATTAAGATTGATCTGGTTTGGAATGGTAAAAGGTGCTTAGATCATAAAATTGACTTGCCTAATTATCGACTAAACAATTAAGCTCACACTGTGACAACTGATAATGAAATTGTTAGTCGCTGTATGACAGTCAATTGTTTTGCCTGATTTATAAAAGACATTGTTTCCTGTCAGATCTTAAAGGAGCGGGTGGTTCTGGGCAGTGGTGCAGCTCCTGGATTGAAAGCAGCTGCTCCACCCACTCCATCTCCCTCTTCTCCTCCAGAGGCCGGGGCTCCATGGTACTCCATCCTGAACCGGGCAGTTTCTGAGGACTCACAACAACTCCTGCTGCTGACCGACTGAAGAGCTTAGAGAGACTGGGACTTCATATGCATTTCTGATCTCACTGTTAACAGTGATAAGGTTACAAAGCTCTGGATCAAACTAGGCTGATTTTCAACACATTATGGGGTCTTTCCCTCACTCTAATCTAAAGGAACAGTCCCCTTTTTTTTAAATGAGCTCATTTTTATAAATATCCATATACAGTGCATGCAAAAAGCATTCATAGCGCTTCACTTTTTCCACATTTTACCTTACAGCTTTATTCCAAAATGGATTAATAATGACAAAGTGAAAAAAGAGTTTTTGAAATTGTTGCAAATTTATAAAAAATAAAAAAGCTGAAAAATCACATGTACATCAGTATTCACAGCCTTTGCTCAATACTTTGATGATGCATCTTTGGCAGCAATTACAGCCTTAAGTCAATTTGAATATGATGCCACAAGCTTGGCACACCTGTCTGGGAATTTTGGCCATTCCTCTTTGCAGCACCTCTTAAGTTCTATCAGGTTGGATGGGAAGCGATGGTGTACAGCCATTTTCAGATCTCTCCAGAGATGTTTAATAGGATTCGAGTCTGGGCTCTGGCTGGGCCACTCATGACATTCACCGAGCTGTTGTGAAGCCACTCCATTAATATTTTGGTGATGTGGTTTGGGTCATTGTCCTGCTGGAAGATGAACTGTCAACCCAGTTTGAGGTCAAGAGCACTCTGAAGCAGGTTTTCAATCAGGATTTCTCTGTACATTGCTGCATTCATCTTTCCCTCTATACTGACTAATCTTCCAGTTTCTGCTGCTGAAAAACATCCCCACAGCATGATGCTGCCACCACTATGCTTCACTGTATAGATAGTATTAGCATAGTGATGAGCGGTGCCTGGTTTTCTCCAAAAGTAACTCCTGGCATTCAGTCTAAAGAGTTAAATTTTAGTCTCGTCAGACCGGAGAGTTTTGTTTCTTATGGTCTGAGAGTCTTTTAGATGCCTTTTGGCAAATTCCAGGCGGGGAGTGGCTTCCGTTCGGCCACTCTACCATTCAGGCCTGATTGGTGGATTGCTGCACAGATGGTTGTCCTTCTGTAAGGTTCTTTTCTCTCCACAAAAGAACGCTGAAGCTCAGACAGAGTGACCATCAGGTTATTGATCACCTCCCTGACAAGGCCCTTCTCCCCCGATCACTCAGTTAGATGGGGATTCAGCTCTAGTTCCAAACATCTTCTACTTACGCATGATAGAGGCTATTGCGCTCATTGGAATTTTCAGAGAGGCAGAAATGTTTATGTAACCTTCCCCAGCCTTGTGCCTCGAGACAATCCTGTCTCAGAGGTCTACAGACAACTCCTTTGTCTTCATTTTTTATTTTTAATAAATTTGCAAACATATCAAAAAATCTTTCTTTCATATTGTCATTATGGGGTGTTGTGTGTAGAATTCTGAGGAAATAAATTAATTGAATCCATTTTGTAATAAGGCTGTAACATAAAAAAATGTGGAAAAAGGGAAGCGCTATAGATTACTTTCCACACGCACTGCATATAATCATTTTTTTAGAACTCGGGTTGCACTGAGCACCTCAGTGATATATGTTGGTGCACTTAACCACTAAGCTATTGGCGCCAACAAAATATGCTCATTTTACAACCCTACTATAGTTTAGCTTAGCATAGATTATTGAATCTGATTAGACCATTAGCATCATGCCATACCATGACTGCAGCAGGCGTAATGATATTACACATATTCTAACTGGTTGTGCAAGTGTACATCTTGGTGCTGCGGACTAATTTCAGGCGCTGCGTGGTATCATTGCACCTGCTGCAACAATGGTACGGCAGCAAATTTCCTTGATTAATACACCAGATTGAGAGTACAGTTCCTAGTCATATCAGTCTAGAAAATAACAACTTTTCATGTTACGTCGGTCTTAGTACACAATGTAAATACAGAAGAATCAAGCTTCCAAATAGGAATATTATTTATTAATGGTCATTTTTAAGTGAAACGCTAATGGTCTAATCCAATTCAATGATCTATGCTAAGCTAAGCTAGAAGTGCTCAAACCAGACCCAGAGATCGGCTGAATGGAAAAAAATGGCATAACTCAACTGTATATCTCTAGAGGAGCTGATTTTCCCCCAAAAAAATTGAACGTTATGCTTAAACAGGTATGGAGCAACAAGCAGTGACGCGGGAGTTTTATCCGTTTTTACAGTACAAGCACTGAGGTTTGCATGTCATAGTTATTCTACAAACTTACTTCTGTCGAAGCTTGTGGCTCTCAAAACTAGTCTGATTCTCTAACTTCTAGCAGTGAGGATCTACTCATGCTTGTTTTAACTGTTTTGTATTAATTGTATATTAAATGGGCTTTATACAGTGTATGCGTTATACAGAGCACAAGTTTGCACTTTTGTGAAATGGGTATTAGCATGATCTGTAAGACGTGTGAAAGGTTACGTGTTGCGGATATCTGACTGTGTGAATAACTGTGAATATAAAACATTTTATTTTCTCACAGTCTCATTTTTTGTTTGTTTCGAATATTAACACCCAGCCTATCGAGGTTTGTGTGTATGTGTGTGTTTTTATTTTCAGCTGCCAGAAATGTTTCCTCAGTGTTTTGTATTGGCTGAGCAGGAGAGCTGACACCACTCAGACTGTTCGCTGGAATCACTCTGCTTGTCGTTGTTTGTTTGCTCAACACTTTTTCTTCAAGTTACATCCATATTTCAGTAGGTAAGAGAAAGTGGCTATTTGAGTATTATCAGTATTATATTTAGTGTTTTCCAGAGAAGTAAATTAGTTTTAACAGGCACTAGTCCTGGCAATATTCCGGAATGACAAGTTGTAACAAGTAACTTGTAAAAAAATAAGTATATAAAATGAATATTCATAACATAAGGCGAATTGTTGGGATTCTGCTGTGCGTGAACACAAAAAGAAATAGCAAGCATATGAGCATGTACACATTCAGAACTTATTCAAATGAGACATTATCTGTAGGCCAATCAGATGATGCACTGACCGACACAGAAATAAAAGCCTTTGAATCCTTTGTCCAGACACATTTAGTAACTGCTTGTTAAGTTGACAACTTTTCTGTTCCTTTATTAATCTATAAAATTATCCCAGTGATGGGTTGCAGATCTATAAAATTATCTATAAAATGCTTATGATAAATCGCTGTTGAATTTACCTGCAAGCACTGCTTTCACGAATATTATGGAACGTCATTGTCTGCGTGTACTGTGCATTATTAATAACTTGGAAGTATTTTTAATAGCATTACTATAATAAAGTATAATAGTAACTTTAAGGTAATTTATTGGTATTACTGTTTGAAACTGGCTATTAAATAATGCATTTAGGAATAGCATTTACTACTGTGTGGTGCTTAGAAAACCAGTAGCCGATGTTTATTGATGAAGCTATGACTGCTTCACAGGTGAATTATATTACCAGTAAAAAGCTTTAAATTTATTTAATGGCAATTAAACCTTCAGTTTGTACACAGAAATCTGATATATTTTCAACACTTTGAAACAAATCATTTATGCAGCATAGAAAAGGTGGCAGAGAATGTTTAGTGAATCTAAATGTATTAATGGCATATTTGAACAGCACAGGTGCTTTTCTTCAAAAGAGCTTTATTTGATGGGGTTAACCGGTGCATCATCTCTAACTGCAGGGAATGCCTCAACCTCTTGAACGATTCTTTCTCCAATCGTTTTGTTATTGGCTGCTAGAACTCTTCTGGACATGAGGTCAAACGGTCCACCTGAGGACAAAACAATGTGACAATATAAATGCGGTAATATGCGACAATTGCATTTAAATTTAATAAACAAAAATGTAATAAACAAATATAATTTCTAACAATACATATTCTATATTTCAAGAGTTCACACTTAGATAATGCTTGACTATGTTAGCAGGTTTGGCATGCTGTCCAGGGAGAGAACCTCATCTGAAATTTATTCATTTTCTTTTCAGCTTAGTCCCTTTATTAATCTGGGGTCGCCACAGCGGAACGAACCGCCAATTTATCCAGCATACGTTTTACGCAGCGGATGCCCTTCCAGCTGCAACCCATCACTGGGATACATCCATACACACTCATTCACACACATTCACTACGGACAATTTAGCCTAGCCAATTCACCTGTACCACATGTTTTTTTGGACTTGTGGGGGAAACCGGAGCACCCGGAGGAAACCCACGCGAACACGGGGAGAACATGCAAACTCCACACAGAAACTAAACCAGCCGAGGCTCGAACCAGTGACCTTCTTGCTGTGAGGCGAACGTGCTGCCAACTGTGCCACCATGCAGCCCAATTGCATTTAATTGTAATAAATATAATTTCTAACAATACATATTCTATATTTCAAGAGTTCACACTTAGATAATGCTTGACTATGTTAGCAGGTTTGGCATGCTGTCCAGGGAGAGAACCTGATCTTGGACATAGATGAGCCCGAGGCTTACGCCTGGTCAATGAGCGTTAGGAGGGATACGAGATCAGGTAGTTCTCGAGAGCTCCCTTGATTTGTTAAGCCTATACCATGATAAATAAGATGGCTCTATGGAAATAGGCCGCCAACCGCACAAGTGTTTATGCATAAAGTGCTTGCAACTGTTACTATTATTTACTTCAATTGTGTCACATGTCTTTAGACTGTCGGAGGAAACCAGAGTACAGAATGTGCCGACTGGCTCAGCTAAGTACTTGATCCAGCAACCTTCTTGCTGTGAGGCAGCAGTGCTAGCCACTAAGCCAGCGTGTTGCCCTTAGCTAGAATTGTGGAAGAGGGAGAAGGGATGGATGGGGGGTTCTTCCAAAATGAATATAATGATAAAAGTTAGGCTGGATATTTATGTTAAATTTGGAATAATCCGATTGTCAATCATATCACATGCTCCTCTTGAAATTTGTTTGTGAAACTTCACATAAAACAACAGACAATTTTAAAAAAACCTATTTATTCATTCATTTTCTTTTCGGCTTAGTCCCTTTATTAATCTGGGGTCGACACAGAGGAATGAACTGCCAACTTATCCAGCATATGATTTATGCAACGGATGCCCTTAAATCGAATCCAAATTCTCGTATAAGAAGACAATAGACACTCCACGCTATTCCCGGACTACTCTCCATTGGAAATGAATGACTTCAGGCTTGTTGTTTATCGTGTGCAGTGAAAAGGCAGCTTCAGGAAGCTGACTCTCTGTCCCCCCTAACATGTCATCTAACATGTCATAACTGTTTATAATTCAGTCAAATTATGAGCTGCAAAGTTGGTTTGTCTTGTCTATAACTTGGCGAATGGCCATGGAATAAGAGGAATAATCAATAGTTGGGTGGTTCTTTGCCTCTTTGTATGTAGTGTTCCAGTATCATCGCCAACTATACTGGCCTAGAGTGCATCATACAGCTTTTTAAGTTGTTTTCAGGGCTCCCCAGAAACAAAGGTAACATGCTCAAACTAAAAAAAGCTCTCGTTACCTTCAACATCCAGGAGAACTCCTCCGGCCTCTGAAACGATGACCGCTCCTGCTGCCATATCCCAACAGTGGATCCCAATCTCATAATAGGCCTCGACACAACCAGCTGCCACCAAACACATGTTGATGGCAGCAGATCCAGCACCACGTATCCTAAAGAAGGAAATGTAATGAACATTCAAGAGGTATTTGTTGATGCACATTACAGTATTTGTACACCACTGCAAACTATGTTGTATACTGTAGGATAATACTACATTTAAGAGTAATTCAAAAAGTTTGCATATTTAAAGAAACGCTACATACCCATGAACTGGCAGACACAAGATCTTCCTCATGCTAGAGAAAATCTTTTCAACGTTTTCAGGATCTCTGTTAGAGCCAAACTCTGTCGCGATGATTGACTGGTTGATCTCTGTTGAACGATTTGGAAACAGTTAGAGAAACTGGATCAACTCTATCAGAATGCTCAGAATAATACTTACCTTTTTGGTCCGACACTTGCAGCGGCTGCCCGTTACAGAATGCTCCTTTTCCTTTTCGAGCCGTGTACATTTTATCTTCTATACAGCTGTAAACCACACCAAACTCTAACTGCAACAGAACAACCACTGACAGTTTGACTGACGCTCTTCAAACTGCATGAACTTACAACCTTCCTAATGCTTGATAAATGAGCAAGAAAACAAAGTGGGTGCAGTGGGTGTTCATCTCAGTGCACATTTCAAAAGATTCATTAGCAGCGGTGGCACTTTTTGTGTTCCTAATTCTAAAATTGAAGAGAGCACATATGAAAGGAAATGATGCTTACCGTTTTGTTGACAGCAAAGCCAATGGATACGGCAACAAATGGATATCTGCACAAAGGAAAATGTTTATTTCAAATGGCTTTTTTTTTTCTAGAAGAGCAGGAAAAATCTAAAATATGCAGTTGATCAGATTTCTCACTCCAAATGCTTAAAGTAATTTCAAGGGTTGGTTCACACCCCAAAAAATAAAGAATCTAGTCATTTTTATTAAATAACTTTTCGCGTATGGAAATCATTATGTGATACTTTGCATTATATATATATATATATATATATATATATATATATATATATATATATAACTCATGGTGGCCCGAGTTTAATTAACAGTTTGAGGTCCAATGCCGATCTTTCCCTCTCTTTGCTCTACTTTCCTGTCTCAACTCTACTTTTCTATACAATAAAGGTGAAAATCCCCTAAAATATATATATATAAAAAATGAGAGTAACTAATAATGACCGTTTCCCAGTTCTGGGTTGCAGCTGGAAGGGCATCTGCTGAGTAAGACATATGCTGGAATAGTTGGCAATTCATTCCACTGTGGTAACCCCTAATAAGTAAGGGGATAAGCCGAATAAATAATAAATAATAAACGAATAAATAATTTTGGCCAATTAAGGTTGTAATATTAAAATGAGATTTAATTACATTTAATAAAATCATTATGCATATAATACTTGGTAATATTTATTAACCACATGAACTGTGTGGTTAGGATTAGGATGAATGGAATAGGATTTGATGTTAGTTGCATGTAATTATAAATCATTTATTCTTATTACTATAATAAGTACATTGAATGTGTAACAACTGCTTCATAAAATACATTGCTTATTTTATACCTTTAGACCCCTCTGTATCAGTAAATAAAATCTTACCCATGCACAAAGTTAGTGGTCCCATCCACAGGGTCAACAATCCATGTTGGGTTTTCAGTCAAAACACAAGGTTCTCCAGCAGCCACAGACTCCTCACCAATGAAACTACAATAAACAGAAGCAGATGCTGTGCGTTCTCTTTACTGTTGATTCAATGTGATCTAATATTAGCATAAAGGACTCAAGTCAATACCTGTGTTCAGGAAACTTCTCCTTCACTGACGTAATAATAAGCTGCTCCACATTCTGGTCTGTTTTGGTGACCAGGTCAACAGATGAGCTCTTGCACATGATCTTCAGGTCGTTCTGCAAAGCCTCCCTCACAATCTGGTAGAGAGAGAAAGAAAGAGTAAGACTTCAGTGCACAAAAAAACACAACAAAAAAATGTTTTAAAAGTGCAATGACATCTCACCTCTCCTGCTTTTCTGGCCAAAGTTACAGCATGGTCCATGGCATCCTGCCAAAGGTCAGGCATTGTGCCTTTATATTCTAGGATGCCTTTCTAAAAAAAAAATAAATAAAAATTATTCTCTTCAGTTTTAAATTGCAGTCACAAACACCATAATGATGTAAATCAATTCAGATCACAGTTCATTTTTAAAACCCTATTTTGTTTGAGAAGGCAGTTTATGTTTCTGATTAATCCCATATTTTCCCTGAGTTCCTGAATCCCTGCACACACTCCTTATATAGAGTTATTCCTATAAATAACTGGGCCCCTAATTGGTTCTTTGACTGAAGAACCAAGCAAAAAAAAAAGTACTATGGCAGCTTTGATTTACATTATAATAGCTGCCATCAGCTGTAAAATCATGATACTATTATTAGTATTATTTTATCTATTTCTCATTTATGTAAAAGAGATAATTCACCCAATAATGAATTTTGAATGAATTGAATGATGTCTAATGCTGGATGCCCTCCATTAGATGCAATGTAATAACAGCAAATGTTTAACAGAAATCCTCATTTGACTATATTCCACAACAGTTTGTTTTCTTTATTATACATTCTGTCAAATTCATCTGTCACACTGACTTTTTATTCCGTTCTGAAAAATTCAAGATAATGAAGAATGTACACTATTCTGTTTGTTTATTTTAGTTATTTAACAGGGACATTACACTTGACATTGTTATACAGAGACAACTGATGCTGTGTACATGGGGCATATAGCATAAGGCTAATTTGCAGCCCTCGTCGGAAAATGTCCGACAAGTCCAACCTGAAATGAATCATACTTAATGTTCACATTGCTGTAAAGATTTCAGCCGTTGTTTTGGCTTTACATAAAAAACTGGGGATGAATTAATTAATAAATCATTTCTAAAGGAATTTCTAGACAGTTTCATGTCACCTTTTTATTATTGTTGACTTTTTAAATGCTTAATATTGGTCACTACTGGCTCCCTTTAAAAGGTTTTAAAAAAACCTAAAGGTTTTTAGGTTTTCATAGCAGTGTTTGGTAAAAAATAAAATAAAAAGTAGTGCCGTTAAACACTGTTGAGGCTACAACCATAAAAAAAAACATTTCATGTACTACAAGAAAAAAAAAATTTTCTTTGGCACATTTTTCATTTATATATAAACATTAGGGATGCATATAAAGGGCTTATATTAATAAATAATTATCAAGGAAAATCATTTTTATACACATAAAATAAAAATGTTGTAATGTTACCTTTAATAAAAATAAATACCTACAACATTAAGCTGTTAGAAGCTAAACACCCTGAAAATCCACAAAATGTATAATATTTTATAGCTCCTGAAGTGCATGTCTGAACTGCACAAGCATACTCTCATTCAAAACACAGATGAGCTTTGGCTAATGATAGTAAAGATCCTCCTGTACAAATCTGCTTCGGTTCATTGCTATACCTTTATAATTAAGCCAAATATAAACATCGATGCTAAACTTGCTTTATGATGGAAGCGCAAATACAGTGACATAACTAACTCGTTGAAACACAACCAATAATAATAATAATACGGAGAGAAAATGCTTACCAACCGGCGAAATGTAGACAGGCTGTCAGATTGTTGTGTTTCCGGGTTCTTGGAGGAGCAGAGAAGATTAACCCTACGTTATCTGGGTATTTTTAGAAAACCACCTAAGCATTTAGTATAGAGAAATATCCTCTCTGTATATGTGTAGCTTATACTATACGTTTCAATGTCCTGTTTACCATCAGTGTGTTGAAATACAGTAGCTATCGTATAACTCGTATTAATGTTAATGCGCATGCGCATTGTGTAAGCATCACGATCGCCTGACACAACTAGGTTAGTTATTTTATTCTTTAATACTTACTATTCATTATTTAAACTGAAGCAAAGAGGTTTTCTCTTTTTTTTTGACGAGCACGTGTCAAGTGTTCACAGCTACAAACATTTTTCTCTCCGTGGTTTTTGTACTTTATTCCCTGTGGGAAGAAAACTGCTTAAATCAGCCTAAGCTGGCTGGTTTTAGAGGGTTTTTTGGCCATTTACAGCCTGGTCTTAGCTGGTCAGGCCAGCTAAAATGACCAACTAAAACTAAAACCATCTTGACCAGATGATGCACATAGCTGGTTTTGGCTGGTCTCACAGCCTGTTTATTGGCTGATCAAGCTGGTTTTAGCTGGTCATCTCAGGCTGGAAATGTCTAAAGAAATGGCCAAACCCCCTACAAAACTAGGCTGGTTGACTTGCTAAAACCAGCTGAGGTTCGTTTAAGCCGTTTTATATTTTTTGTAGGGTTGTCCTCGTTAACTTTACCCTTATCGAAATAGGCTATATAACATTTTTACCATCCAATTGGTGTTCTATAGAAAATATAAAATCCCTCACTAAAAGAAAATAATAACATGCATATTAACCAAATTGCCATCACAAATAAAAACATTATTCTTGTGAATACCACATGAATAGTAGGTCTTAATCCTCCTTTAACTGGTTTAGAATAGATGGTTTTGTTTTCCTGAAGTAAAAGAAAAGCGAGCAACACCATGTAACTCTTGTTGTCCCAACCTTTATTGCAGCGCTCAAACCAAACATTTACAGTTGTTTACAGATTTGTGAAAGGTCACCCAAAACTCCCTAAAATTGCAATGCCTCAATAACTTAAAAAGAGTTAGCCTATACAGCAGGATTTCATGTAAACCTCCGAGTAGAGAGCCTTGAGTAAACATTATCTGTTTATATGTGGATTTCTATTACAAAAAAAAAAAAAAAAAAAACACCTTCTCACAAATTTTTATTGCTGGTTGTGCGTTGTCTGTCCCTTAAAGCACGACCCACACAAAGGCTGTTATATCCAACCTTTCATATATGGCTTTGAGAATATAACACTTCTTTATTCTAGTAAAATTCACTGTTTTACTACACCAAAAATGTTCTAAATTCAAAAAAATCCTAATGAAAAGAAAAAAGTCAAATTAATACCACTTTAAAAATTCACATTGACTTCAAAAGTGTCAGGGGTTGAAAGCACCCTCTAGTGTTGTAGAAAAAGAAGGAAAGAAATAAACTAAAAATAATATTGCAGCTACTTTTAAACGTTATGAAACTACTAAAGAGGTTGAGGTTTGCAGCATTTCCTAAAGTCTATCACAAAAACAACATCTATTCTGGCAGGCCCCATAAAACCACAGTGTAACACACAACATTATATATATATATATAAAAAACTGAATCCTAAGTGAAACAATTCAGGAGCCAGAATTCGGTTTCCTTCAAAAGACCAAACCTATTTTCAGTTTTCTACACATTTACTCTGCATCAATGGTGAAAGCCACATTGTGTCGACAACGTTAATAGTAAATCCAAAATAATCTCTTTTCAGAATATTAAAATGACAACCCATTTCCACGTCTTAATGTAATACAAAAGTGTATTTTTCAGATGTGCCACAACAGTATAAAGGGTCAGAATAAATGCACTGACAATTCAACACACATTTGTGTGACATTTCGACTAATTCTTTAGTACAAAGTGACTTAAGGGGAAAAAAGCACTTGGAAAAATCTTTACTCTGCTACAAAAATAAAACACTTTGTCAAGTAGGTTGCTCCATATTCAGGTGGGCATCTATCACGTAGTATGGCAACCTCCTTAAACAATACTGTTTTGTATGCATACTACACAGCAGCTGGAGCGCCTGAAACAGCTTATCAATTCATGAGCCTACAAAACACGCAAGAAAACGTTGATGATGGGGCAGACCGAAGAAATCTGACATGGCTTAAATATGAAGAAAGTGAAAAGTTCTCTTCTTAACGAAATACACACATACACACTCACACACACACACACACACACACACACAATACAGTATTGAGGAACATATCAACAGAGGTACTAAAATGCTGAACGTACACACAGAAAACACCATCAGTAATGGCTCAAATGATTGTTTCGCATAAAGTTAAAAGTGGAAATTCATATTGACACACAAATATGCGCATGCACGCTCATTCACCCCAATACACACAGTTCACGTAGCAATTATCTTGGTTAACCTGCCAGCATAAACATGTCCTTGATATGCAACATTGGAAATGTAGACTCAATACATATTGGTAGTACAAAACCTAAGGGTAAAAAATAGCAAAAGATCAGTGCAGCTTTGCATAGTACCTTCACATTAAAGCAAATGGATTTACCAGAGAGAGAAAGAGAGAGATGTAAAATGTGAAGATCTCTGAGCTACAAAGCAACATGACTGTGTTTGTACACACAGGATAGGACACTGTAATCAAACTTTCATCCATGATCGTTCAACAAAATGGCTACTTCACATCTATGTTAAGAGTTTAGAGGAGAAAAGCTGTCTGGAATTACAATGAAAAGGGATTTGGAAAAGGAAAATAAAAGTTTAAGAGTCAAACCACCAAACAAAAGTTGACAAAACATTCACAAAAATGTACATTTGTACTGCATCATCAATAAACAAACAGGCTTGAGTCTCAAAAAAAACTAAATTCAGGGGAAATGAAAGGGTAATTGGAGTGTTCTCTGATTTTACTCAATGGCATGAATTGGCAGCTGCAAACTTCCAGTGGAATGCCATGTGGTGCTGGTACTTTCTCCATCTTACACACTGTCCCGTGTTTTATGTTTCTGTGAAAGACATAATCATTGACATGAAACACACTTAACAGATATACTGTTGAAGTCAGAATCATAAGCCCTGCTGATTATTAGCCCCCCTGTATATTGGTGTCCCCAATTTCTGTTCAACAGAAATATTTTAACACATTTCTAAACAAAATAGTTTTAATAACTCATTTTTAATAACTGATTTCGTTTAACGTTGCCATGATGCCATGATTACTGAATATTTTTCAAGGTACTGATATTCAGCTTAGTGCAATTTAAAGGCTTAACCAGGTTAAATCAAGAACAAATATGGCTTAATGGGGCTAATAATATAGACCAGGGATGTTGCTAGACAAAGTTCTACTGGGGCACAGCACCCTTCCAAAAAAACGAAATAATAATAATATATATTATTTTATTATATAAATAATTAACAGTAATAGTTATTATACTATTATTATTGTAAATAAATAACAGAAATTAATACTAAATGTAACTGGAAAACAATCTTAAGACACAACTGGAGTGATGATAACAATTTAATAAATCTTTTGCATGAATATTAATTTTACTAGAATGAAATTCTATAGACAATTAAATAAAGTACAAAAATAGAGTGTTTTATAGAATTATCTGTTGTGTGTTGTCCTAGACCGGAATCATGGCCAAGAATTAGGCTTATTAAGTCCTACCTCCCTGACTTCATCCCTCCTTTCTGCTTTATACCAAAAAAAATAAAAAATCTATCAGGAGTCATGCAGTGTAAATAAGACCACCCTCACATTATTTACCCATTTATCAGATCTGTTTCATCCCTGTCTGTTTTTAAATCTTAAGTCTATGGAGGATGAGGAAGCTCTTAGATTGCATCTGAAATATCTTTATTTGTATTGTGAACATGAACAAATGACTCAAGAGATTGACACAACATGAGGGTGTGTCATTTATAACAGAGTTTTAATTTTTTGGTAAACTAATCCTTGGCCCCGTGAGGTGGTTTGAAATATGCAGTTTTTATTTTAAATTTGATGTAATCCTAACTAAAACAAAGACAGACCGGGACAGACTAGCTCCTCCATCTTAAAAAAAAAAAAAGTCAAATAGCTATTATTTGACATTATTTTATGACAACTCTTTCAGTGAGAGTGATTTGAGAGTGAACTCAAATGAAAAGTAAATTGTCACTGTTTTGGAGCACACTAGCCTATTGACCTTATTCTCCGCCGACGAACCGGCGCTGCCATTTGAATCTTTTCAAGTGGTGCTCGCTGCAGAGCCATTTGAGGAGAGCTGAGCTCCAGCGAGGGGGAGCTTAAGCTTGAGCTCCACCTTTTTTGCACTTCTTCTACGAGTGATGTCACTGGGGGTAGGGTTAGGGGTGGGGTTGGTGTACGCATCAAAACAGCTTACAGGAGGAGGAGCGACAGCTCATGCTCCCCCTCGCTGGAGCTCAGCTCTCCTCAAATGGCTCTGCAGCGAGCACCCTCTCAATCTTTTTGGCTTGAGACTTCCGGTCTCATTCACTTCCATTAATTTTTTGACGTTAAAAACTGCTCATTACGCTGCTTGATGTTGCAATTTGATATTTTCTTATTATATTATTCTACTTGGTCTGTATAGTCATGCAAACATTTGTTTGTAGAGCAAGTAGTTTGACCGTTTTCTGCCGTTTATTATTCTTAGTCATTTCTCCCATAGGCGACTGAATCGGAAGTTCTAAGACAATCGCGAAAACAGGTGCACTTCCGCATTTTAGAATAAGGTCAATAGATATGCGGATAACTATAAAAAAAAATAATTTAAAAAAAACTTTAAAAAGACCTTTAAGGCCTGTTTACAACAACAAAGATTATGTTCCATGTAGTCAATGTGCTACGGTTTATATGCTCAGGCTTTTTAAAACAGGATGGCCTCTGATTGGCTATCAGTGTTTTATTGCTAATGTACCGGGGAAAAAGAATCTGCACAAAGTAATTCTAGCAATATTATTTCTACATATTCATTTATCATTAAAGTTGTGGTGTGGACTTTTTACATTTAAAGATCATTTAATATAGAAATGAACTAGACACTCTCCACTTTTTCTTTTGGAAAGGGCTCATTTTCCAAGTCACCTACATTTCGTATAGCCGATCTCTGGCTAATAACAATAAAAAAAATTACCTGTGTGCTCTACTTCAATTTCTTCTTCTGTTTGGTTAATATCCTCTGTTAAGGAAACAAAATAGAAAGAATAGCAAATTAGACACTGAACATGGATTACTTGACTCAAGACAAATTTCTGAATGGATTTTACACGAGCAAGTCTTCCCACTCTTTATATGCTTCATAGAAACAAATTAAATGACCAACCTGGAATGTCCTCCTCATTCTGCTCTTCCTCTGCAGCTTCATATTCTGTAACAAGACAGAAAATTTGACAACAAACCAAAAAAAACATTCATCTGTTCAGAGTTTATTCTATAAATTGTGTAATGTTTTATATTAACGAGCAATATTAAATCCAAATTATAATTATCCTGTCAAACTTACCCTCTTCTTCTATATTTTCTGCCTCAACCTCAACTTCCTCCTCTGCTTCCTCCTCTGTAAAGTCTTGTTCTTCCTCTTCTTCCTGAACAGGCTCATCCACTTCCTCTGTAACATCCTCTTTCGTTACAGTTTCTTCTGTAGGGACTGACTCCTCGGTTTCCTCTTCAGGTATTTCTACTATTTCTTCTACTGGTTCCTCTGCCTGTTCAGGTTCCTCAAATGCTTCTTCTACTTGTTCAGTTTCCTCCACTGGTTCTTCTACCGGTTCAAGATCCTCCACTGGTTCTTCTACTGGTAAATTTTCCTCAACTTCATCAACCGATTCAAGCTCCTCAACAGCTTCTTCTGCTTCTACAACCTCCTCTACAGCTTCTTCTTCAACCTCAACTGCTTCTTCTACTGGTGCAGTTTCTTCTGCTGGTAAAGCTTCCTCCACCGGTGCAGCTTCCTCCACAGATTCTTTTTCTTCTGGGGCAGCCTCTTCCTCCAACTCAACTGCTTCTTCCACTGGTACAACTTCTTCAAACACTTCTACTGGCTCTTCCACTGGTGCAGCCTCTTCCTCAGCAGCTTCTTCCACCGGAGCAGCCTCTTCCTCTATTGCTTCTTCCACAGGAGCTACTTCCTCTACTGCTTCTTCAACTGCTACGACCTCTTCTTCAGTTGCAAGTTCTTCCACTGCTTCCTCAAAAGTCTGTTTCTCAACTGGGAGCTCTGGCTCTTCCTCGATAACTTCAGGTTCCTCCTCAGGAACTTCTAGGTCTTCTTCAACCTCTGGTTCCTCTTCAGTTACTTCCTCTTCTGCAACAACAGGCTCTTCATCTACTGCCAGTGGTTCTTCCTCCTCAGCAACAGGCTCCTCCTCCACAGCTTCTGCAAGGGAAAACATATGTTTAGCAATATCTATTAAACTATGTAATGTGCTACTATGGGTAGATGCAAATATGGTCCCCTTTACAGACTAATTACAGGAATTGTCATTGAAACTGGTCACCAGATTTCAATCCCTGAAAGCCAATTTACATGACACCATTTTCTTTGTTGCATTCACATCGTCATTAATGATGATCCCTCGGTACCATCTCGCATCTCAGCCTGCCTGTAGGACATTTCATATTGGATGAAAGATCATCATCTTCAGCTTAACCTTGCCAACCCGACTCTACACCATAACTTTTCAATCCAGATGGATGGGGCAACTAAACGTCTGACCACATTTCTAGAACTGCTCGATCGTACAGATTCGCACTCTATAACATCAGAAAAGTCTAACCCTACTTATCTGAACATGCAGCTCAACTCCTTGTTCAAGCTCTTGTTCTCTCCAGACTGGATTACTGCAACTGTTTACTAGCGGGGCTTCCAGCTAACTCTATCAAGTGTCTTCAGCTGCTCCAGAGCGCAGCAGCACGAGTGGTCTTTTTTTAACCTAAAAGAGCACATGTCACTCCGCTGCTCATCCATTTGCACTGGCTGCCAGTTGCTGCTCGCATCAAATTGAAAGCTCTGATGTTTGCCTACAAAGCGACCTCTGGCTTTGCTGCTCCTTACCTGCTCTTACTTCTGCAGATTTATGTGCGCTCCCAGAAACTTGCGTTCAGTGAATGAACATCACCTCGTGGTTCCATCCCAAAGAGGGAAGAACTCACTTTCCTGAACTCTCTCATTTAATCTGCCCAGTTGGCGGAATGAACTCTAACTGCATCAGAATGGATGCAGAGTCACTCGCTGTTTTCAAGAAACGACTAAAAACTCAACTATTTAGTCTCCACTTCACTTCCTAATCTGCAATCGCTTCTCTGGTTCTACCACTAACTGTACTCAAAAAAATAATAATTCCATTACTAATGCTTTCCTTCTTAGACTTTACATACCTGAAACTTGCCTATAGCACTTATTCATCGTTGCTCTTATAGTTGTGTAAATTGCTTCCTTGTCCTCATTTGTAAGTCGCTTTGGATAAAAGCGTCTGCTAACTGACTAAATGTAAATGTAAATCAAGAACACTTTGAGACATAAACTTGACCAGTGTTTCTCTAACACGTTCCTGGAAGACCGCCAGCTCTGCACATTTTCCAGGTGTCCTTAACCAAACCCACCTGATTCAGATCATCAGCTTCTTAGTAGAGACTGAAAGTCCTGTAATAGGTGTGACAGACAAAGGAGATATCCAAAACGTGCAGTGTTGATGGTTATAGGAACGTGGTTGAGAAACACTGAACTAGACAACAGTGATAAAGCACACCATTCAAAATAACCACTGGAAGATAAAGGATTCCCTGAACTCAGGCAGTTTTTATTGAGCATTTCGTGGTAATGGAGAATGAACGTAGCTGTGCAAGTTATGTGACTTACTTAGAACGTATTTGCCTATAAAAACTCGTTGTGTTACATTTTATTGAGGTGAGAAAACCACAACATTACAGACAAGCTTGACTGGGGTCGGTGGAGCTGCTCTTCAGTGGATCGTCTTTCAACACTGACAGTTCTTTCAAGCCAAACTGAATCAGTTTTGATATAACTTTAACTACCCTAACATTCTACCACTACTACAACTACTGCTGCCTGTTTGATATGCTGAACACATCCTATAACCTGACATAATGTTATGGCTTTTTACTGGCTTTTTTTTTTTCTTGTGGCTTTGACAATACTGTAAAAAGCTATACAGAAATAAAGATGACCTGGCTTAACAGACAAAGGAAATGTAAATAATACATCAAAACACTTTGCTGTTGTTTTGACAAATCATTATACACTTACATCACTGTAGTTCATATAGTGCTGGATTAGACCCTGCTATTGAAAAAATAATAATTCAGTTCTCCCCAAGAGCATTTCTAGAAATAAAATTGTTCACAGTTCCTGTGGTGTGGAAAAAAAAACTGCTATTTTAACACGGTAGGTATGGGAACTGTGAAAAAGATCCTCCTGTGCGAAAGCCCCTCATATTTAATGTAATTGGTGGGGAGATGTGGCTAGAACTTGTGGCCATGTAGTGGTTAGATCTAGTTATAGCAGGGGTGTCCAAACTCAGTCCTGAAAGGCAACTGTCCTGGGCTGAGTCCGAAATCGCCTACTACTCAGTAGGTACTGCATTTGAATTTAAATGTACTACTCTCCCATTAGAAAAGTGTGTACAATACAGTATGAATGTCAGTAGCATAAATGAAACTCTGATGTACTACATCCGCCATTTTGTCATCCTTGTGTGACCTACCTGCATCAGTTGCATCGCTTCACTCCCATTCATTTAGAATCTTGCTGGAATTAGTAGGTCATCCAGGTACTTCTCGCATACTGTTTTTCGAATTCTGTGAATTCGGACATACTACTTGGCTTGCATACTATTTCAGTCTCCTATATAGTATGGAAGCCCGAAGAGTTTAGTTCCAACCCCAATTAAAAACACCTGAACCAGCAAATAAAGCTCTTACTAGATATACTAGAAACTTCCAGTTAATTGTGCTGAAGCGAGTTGGAGCTAAAACTCAGCAGGACACCAGCCCTCCAGAACCGGATTTGAACACCCCTGAGCAATAGCATATGAAATGATGCATGTTTATTTAGGAATACATCAATACACTTATGAGCCAACAAATAGCAACTATTACAGATCGTCATTTCAAATGACATCACAAAGACTGTACCTGGTGGTGACTGAGCTGCTTCTTCAGCTTCGTAGGCTTGAATCTCTTCTTCCACAATAGCATCTAGAGCTGATTAAGAAACAAAACTATTAAGCTTGAAGAAAACAGCTTTTGCTTTTCAGGATTGAAAGAATGATGATTATTTAGTAAGGCATTCATACAAGTTCAGTCATACATGTCTGCTATTCATAACAGGTCTATGCAATTTCTCTCGCCATGTTACACAAGAACTGGCAAGACTCGTTTATAACTGGCCTCAGGTACAAAAGCGTTCATGCGTCAATCAGAATAATTTCGATATTATACACAAATTATCCATTAGCACATCACTGTCTTTTAAACCCAGTTAATATTTTATAAGCCCTGCAAGATAATCCATCTCCCTTGCAGTCAAATAAAATATTTTTTTGCTACTTTTTCAATGTCTATTAATATTATAAATCAGTTCCTTATGCATACATATCTTTGTATAATAAAATCAGTATGAATACATTCATTGAAGAAAGCTCCCGTGTATAATTCTACTTTACCTTCTTCCACAGGTTCAGGGGTGGCAGACTGGACAGTTTCTCTGGTCTCAACGGTGAGCTTATCTTTCAGTCCTGAGGGTTTTACATGTGCATGTGCATTCATGAGGTAGTGTAGAACACAAATCACATAAAACGAGCACAATGCTCTATGAAGTGGACTAGAGAGCTTTTACACTAAATAGTGTAATAATTAACAAGCTGATGACATTTGGTTTACTTTTGCACTGAAGATTTCTTTTCTATCCCTTGTCTTACAGACACAAAGGAATGTGTTTGAAATTTGAAACAGACCAAGAGGGAAACACACGAGAGGAAAAGGGAATATTTATAGAAGACTTTATAGAGTATTAGAAGAGAGACAAGCATTCTTGTGGGAAAGAAAGACTGTAAATATGATCTTATAATCAATCAACAAAGAAAAGACACTCAAAAGCACTAATAAAAACAAACCCAGGGATACATGGTTTATTGATAACACAAGAATATTCTCCTTTAGTAAAGCAACACTAGTAAATGAACAAAATAAGAAACATGAAATCTTACACTTTACATACTACTTTCAAGAGCAAACCAAGATCCAACCCTCAAACCAAAATATTTTAAGATAAATTAAAAATGCTAATCAGCATTTAGCACCTTGTTGTGATTCCGCTATTATTAACCCAATGATTTGATTCATTTTCACCTCACTGATCATCTCTCACAGGTCTAGACTTCAATAAGTCTCAGAAGACTGCACTGAGACCAACCAGTTTTACACAAAGACAAAATGATCTGGCGTTTAGCTCTCTACTGTTTCTTTTTAGCTGCAGCCTTCTTGGATTCTTTACCTTTTCCATCTTTCTCAGCTTTTTTACCACCACCATCATCATTTTCATTGACAGGTTTCTCCATGGATTTCTTTTCAAGCTCTGGCTTTTCTTTCACCTCATCATTTTCCACTTTTTTAGTCTTCTTTGCCTCTTCGCTTTCTGCCATTTTCTCTCTTTCCTCTTTCTCCTTTCTAATTCTTTCCATGGCCTTTTCCACATCCTCTTTCTCTATTCTCTCTCCTTCCTCTTTCAGCCGAGCTTCAGCTCTCTCCCAAGCTTTGGCTTCAGACTCCTCTCTGATGCGGTTTAAGGTCCTCTCTTCCTCTTCTTTGGCTAAGATGTTTCTGACTTCCGCTAGTGCCAATTTAGCTATTTTCCTGGCCTCCACTCTTTCATGGATGATGGTGAGCTGTTGTTTCAGAGCTTCCCTTAGCTTCAAACCAACATCTTTGGCGTGGGAAAGCTCTGGGGAGAAACTTTGTTTGATGATGTAATAATGGTAACTGAATTTCGAACACCACATACATGCGCACACACACCTCAAACCACAACGCAATTAGTTGGAATGATGTAAATCAGTTTACATCAGAATGTCATCAGCAGTTTGTTGGGATATCCTCCACACCAGCAGTTCTCAACTTATTCAAGTCAAAGTCTCCCCTTATTGTCCTGTTTTTGAAGGCTAATGTAAAGTAGTCAACAATCAAAGTAAATCAAAAATGTTTTTCAAAACTGTCCTTGGACAATTGTTGTTCAATAGTTTTATGACAACTATGATGAATGGTGGTGATCCACTTTAAAATGTTGACTATTGTGTTTGTAGATATTATGAAAAAGCTAATTTACTATGTTGTTGTTGTTTTTATATAAAAGTTTAACACAAACTGTGATTCTTAATAAACTTTAAAAAAAAAAAAAAAAATCAGCTACAATTGACAGTTGTATTTAGCCAGCTGGATGATTTATGTGACTTTGTTCAATTTGATGAGGTTCCTTTAACTGCGCTGATGGAGTATTCCTTAGTTTTTAATCAGAATATAATCAGCTAAGTAGTTCAAAGAGGCTTAAAAAGGTTTTAAACTAAAAGTTGCTAGTCTTAAATTCACATCATCATGGCATTATTTTTATGAAAATTATTTTACTTGTGCATTTTAAAGTGTAGCATAAGGGTAACTTCTACAGTGAGGATCATCATCATCATCATCAGTAGCTATGTTTTCATCCAAAATGCGAATTAACTGCGCAAAACTGGATTGCTGCATAAAAGACGTGCGAATAAAGCAGCATTTCCATCTAATTAGTCAAAGAGAACAAAATAGTCACTTCCTGATTAACTTGCACCAAATATAAACAATAAAAACTAAACTTGCATGAATCTTTTCTTTATTTAATAAATGACTTGCGCCTCAAAAGGCAATCTTGATGTGCAGTGAATGCGCAGAGACGTTTGAAGGCATGAAACACGGAGCACAGACATTCTTTATTCTAGAGATCATTAATAAAATAATAACACTAATACTAAAATGGTTATGGCGTATTAGAATGACCAAAACAACATTTCAGCTCTTTACAATGTGCTCAGCCTGCTGGATTGTCCATTCGCACACATTTTAACTATCACATGATCTCTTAAAACAAATTCAGTTGACTTTTTTTTAATGCGCATCCTGGGATTTGATTGGTAAAAATGTTTCCATCGTAGTTTATGCACATCTTTTCTCATCGAATAAAAGGTTTATCCTACTTAGTTATGCACATACGTTTTTTATGCACATTTTTAAAATCTATGCGCATCTTGGCATTTCTAATGAATGTTTTTTTTATGCGCATATCCAAAATGCGCATAAAAATAGGTGGATGGAAACGTAGCTAGTGGCACCTTCAGTGTACACTATGCTTAATAATGAGCAGTACTCAATTCATTTGTTATATTTCCCCATTTTCATACATGTGAAGGATGCACTATGTATTTAGCACAATAATGATGTGTAGGGGTGTAACGATATTAAAACCGAACCGAAATATCGCGATACACCAACCACGATACGTATCGCGAAACTCTCGTGGCGTACCGCGGTACTCTCACGCCCCGTGCTGCCCATTGTTGAGGTTGACGTCACTTGTCTCTAACTAATTGAACCAATTTAAACACATCTTTAATATCATTTGATTAAATTGTTTTAGTAATGATGAGGATTTGTTCTAAATATTATATTCTAAAGTTAGTATTTTAGTGCATGTTATGTCATGTGACTCGAGTAAGCATCACACTCGTTACTACTGGACGCAGGATGGCTGCTTTACATAGTACTGAGATTGCAGATCCCCCAGACACATTTAAGTCATCTGTGTGGAAACATTTTGGTTTTCCAGTTGAGTACAGGAATAGAATTTGTGTCGTAGACAAAGCGTACGCCTGTCTGTCTCAACTGTTTCACGAAACTTACTTGTAAGGAAAAACATTTAAAAATTGTGGTAATTTCCCAATGTGCGGTTGTAAGCAACAGAACTGCCAACAAAAGTGATTTAATGTACAAAAGTAAAACTAGAATAATGCCCAAATATACAAAAAAGAGAAATATTTACACTAATAAAAATAATATAATAAAGTAACAAATTCAAACAAAAGTATCAAACAAAAATTAGTTAAACTCAAGCAAGGGGGTGATAGTGAAGACAAACAAAATAAATAAATATAATAAAACAATTCTAACTCATGAATAACCCCTCTTACCTCGCTAAAACTGATGAAAAGAAAAAAAGATCTTCAGCGCCGTGCGCCGCATTCTTCCCTATACTGAATAAAATAAACAAAGGTGACCTTCACCTCTTACCTGATGTCTTTAACAATACATTTTCTACGTGTTTGCAAAATGGAAATCGTATGACATTTTCCCTATCCACCTTACACTAAGACTGAACTTGAGGAGATTGAGCAGCTATATTGTCGGGAAGGAGCGGAGGTAAAAAATAATATACAAATCAATTGAAATAAAAATGTACAAACCTCACAAAATTTCTTAAAGTGGGCAAAAGTAATGCAAAATAATTTTACCCAAACGAAAGTTAAGCAAAATGATGATAGATCGGTCTCCTGACCAATCAGCTGTCAAAAAGGCGGACCTACAGAAATGACAGGCAGCAGCTGTCGTGAAGGCGGACCTACAGTGCATAAATGACCGGCATAGAGGGAGCGGGAGAGAGAGAGAGATCGGGAGGCAAACATACTGCCGGCTACAACCCTAACATTAGTTTCAGACACAACCGCAATGTATTTTACTGGTGAATATGTCATGAAAAAACACTTTACAAACACAGTATATGTATATTTTTTATTAATTTAAACGGAAACCTATTTATCTAAATGAAACCATATAATCAAAAATGAGCGTCTGTGTCTGCACAGAGATCAAGCCTCTCATCGGAGAATGTGGATATTATGGTGTTTTTGAAGAAGATCTTTCACTAGTCTACACTGCAGTTATTTATTTAATTTTAGTTTACTTAGTTAAGATGGCTGCACTAAAGAGAATAGTTTTTTTCTGACTGGTCTATATTGGAGGTATTTATTTAATTCTAGTTGTTTACTCGGGTATCCTGACTGTACTAAAAATGTGATGACAAAGTTAATAAAGAAAAAGTTAAGATGTTCTTGTTATTAAGTGAATTGTCCCTTAGCATTGCTGTTAACATGACATCAACCCTAACCCCACAGCAAACAGAAACCGAACCGTACCGAACCGAACCGTGGCTCCAAAACCGTGAACCGAACCGTGCCTTTTGTGTATCGTTACACCCCTAATGATGTGTAGTCATGTCATGTGTGCGTCATGAAACCGCTACCAATTCCAAAGTTGATGACTTCCACTTTTGAATCCTGTGACACATGCACTGCACAACTTAAAGGCGCTATCTAGCAGCTTTGTATGAAGACTAATGTAAACTAGAGACATGCTGCAATTTTGTTGCACTTAGCATCACTGTAAAGCAGTTTTGAAAGCATAAACTTGATTTGATTAAACATACTTCAGGAGAATATTAAACAGCTAAAGATTTGAACCGATATTACAAAAATTGTATCAAATATTTAGATCAAGAAGATACTTGAAGGTCTTTAAAAAAATAAGAAAAAAATAAATTAAACTTACCCTTATGAAAACTACAGAAACCCAATCCACAAAATATTGTGTTTATATTTCAAATACATGGCACAGCACAATGCAATTTGACCTAGTGCTTCTTGTCTGGCATTTGACCCACATTTAATTGTACCCCAAACAGGCACAGTAGGTCATTGCTTTTGAACAAGGAAGTTCTTAAATGCAGCGCATAAAGAATGAGATTTCGCTTCTTTAGAAATGCCCAGGCCAGTTTATACTTTTTTTAATTCCAGAATTTTTTTGAGGGAAAGTTAATCTATATCGTCATATAAATAAACCGAAACCTAATATAATTTATCCTCTAGTCACTCAAATACTTATCTGCCAAATTGAGAACCACTGGTCTACATATTACGTTAGAAGATTATGTATTCAGGGTATGTTCATGACAAATTCACAGTTCATTTATAATGTTTGCAAACAGCCTGGAGAAAGTATACACACGTCTTACATGGGCATGTAGCTCTGTCAAGTCATAATAGTCCATGCAAGCTTATACATATTAACTACAAGAGGTCTCATTGTTAAACACTCCTTGGTTAAACAGAAATATAGTTTGTAGTTAAAACTATCTGATGTCAGCTCAGCCATGCAAATAAAAACATGTCAGTCAAGTAAACTCCGATAACCTTTCAAAATCCCAAACCACACTAGAGGCTAGTCTGCTGCATGCACTCAAACCAAGTGTGCAAAATACCTCCTTTCCTCTTGGAAACTTCTTTAGAATTTTCATCTAACGTAAATGAGAGAGACAAATTAAAGTCAGTGGCTGCCATTTAAAACAATTGCATCATGCAGGTCCTGCCTTTGAGGTCTTCTTTATACACGTCTTTGACACCCCAGATGTCAAAAACATGGTCTATTTACCCACATCTGACCTGAATCTATTGTTTTATTAATTGTGCACAACGCACCGCAACAAAAGATTTGTTTTCTAGTAGAAAAATCTTTGTAACCTAAATGCATGTCGTCACAGTTCACATCACCTTCTCTTAGTGGCTATATTTATACAGCATTTGAGTAGTCTCAATCATATCAACACAAATATAAAATCCAAACACCACAATAAAAGTAAAACATGACAACAATGGCAAAATAATTAAAGCAAGTAATCCGAATTGCTAATTTTCCAAAACAAACACTGAAACTGTGCTTAAATAAGAACGAAAGAAAAAAGTAATATTTCTAACTATCAAAATGTGATTCTACTAGACATTGGTCAAGAACCGTGTTCAAGGTATACCACGGTTTAGAAAAGTCAAGGTTGTAAAACCGCCAAAAACGGAAGCTAATTGTTTAGCCTGACATGTTTACTGTTCCAAAATATCTTAAATGTTTCTCAAAATAAAATGTAATAAATTCAAACGGGGAAAAAAGTTTTTTGTTTTTTTACCCAGACATTTAAAAAGATCGTATTTTAGGGTAACCCTGATAGTTTTATCTAAGGTTATCATATGACCAGAATCTTTTACCGGCTCATGCCTAGATTCTAAGCACTAGAATAAATACTGAATTGGTATTTTGTAAATGACTAGGTAGGTAGGTATTGCACTTGTGATCATTTATTAATGCTCGTAGCCCTCTCAAGTACTTGTCTGACACTACTTGCATGTTGGCAGGTAGGAACTGATTGTTGACAGTGACAGAATGCTGGGGTTCAGGACCCGTTCCTACACAGAGCCACTTGAGAGAACTTATTCTTAACTTCTTAAACACACGTGCAGTTAAATAGTTAAGTCTATAGTAAAAGTTTCCAGTCTTCTTTGCTAATTGAGGTAATACAGCATGAAAGTTGAGATACACTTATACTGAATATTTAAGCCTATCAATGTTCTCTACATCTTTGACCCCCTTTTCACCTGGTATTAAAATCAATTGCAACTGTACAATGCCAAATAGAAGTGCAAATATGGTTTATATAATTATTAGCTTTTCCTTTTTCGACCACTTCCAGAGGTAGTTGAAAAACATTTTATCGTATTGTTTTTGTAGCGCAAATTTTAACAATAATATTTACACAACAACGGTGTAACAAAATATATGGCATGCCAGGCCAGTATTAAGAAGCGAAGTAATTTCACTGGCAGCTTGGCACTCGTGTGTATAATTTACCATGCGCCGTAAGACACTATTTTGATTTTAATGAATTACAAAAAGTAAAGTAAAAAGTAAAAAAAGTACCTTAGCAACAACACTACCACATACTTTGCCATTATTGTGTACGTGTGTTTGCGCTTGCATTAAATCTACACTCCTCTACAGACATACAATGCATACTTTCTCAAAGACTTGTTTTCAGGTGTTTACACTGAACATCCACAAAACGGACAGGCAATACTTATAAAAACTTTCCAGCTTTTGGCTGAAATTATGTGTAAACAACCCCTCAACGTGATTGAACAGCCACAAACTCTCTTCTAATTGACTTAACACAATCATGTCAGGATATATTGTTAGAAAAAGCACCAAAAGCATTCATACATCACTAAATTGTATTACAACACATGGATTATGGTCCTGCCAAAGTGATGCAGAGCGTGGCGAAATAAGAGGGGAAAGACTAAACACAAGTCGTCACAACATTAGAACTCATTAATACCAGGTGAAAACCGTAATGCGTCTCAGATGATTATATGCGATCAGATACCTGAAAAAGTCTGTTAATACCAGGTGAAAACACCCTCTGATGAAAGAAAGCAAAGGCAAGTCGCATGAGAAAAAATAAACTTAGCAACATAATTTTAAATCTGTCTGTTCTCTGTATTACTAAGCTATACCAAAATAGTAAACAGAAAAACCAAATAGATGTATCTCCACTGAGTTGCTGAGGATGCAGATCACCCCAAAATGCAATTGTTGTGCAATAAAAGCTTCTCAAAATAAACTAAAAACAAAATAAAAATGATAATCATAAGCAGTCACATGTACAGTGTTAAATTGCAAGGCTCAAACAGAAGTACATACTGCCGTTTATGATATAAGGGAACTTATGCATGCGGCAAAGGTGAAACTTACAGCAGCTAAGGTCAAAAGATTAGTAACTGGAAACAGCCAAGTCCAATATTTACAAAATGTTCATAATGACATCATCTTCTCGAGAGTTCGCAGGTCCCAAAGTGACTGTTGGCGATCTTCCCAACAGCGGATTTCTTCAAGTGTTAGGAACAGAATCAAGTCCTTCCTCTAATAAAGTGCTTCTGTCACAATCGCGGTAAAAAACGTGACTACTGATTTTGAAGGCCTAAAATAACGCATGTCTTTTGGCCCTGAACCCCTTCAGTCTGTGACGCGCTAGCAACGTCCTCCGCTGCTGCCTCGGTTTCTTCATCCTCTAGCGTTTCGAAAGGATTCATAACGTCATAAAGGAAGGTGAAGAAACCTTGAAACCAATCAGTGCCCTCTTCGGCTAAAATATCGAGAACTTCCTCAAGGGAGTCTGAGTTTTCTTTGCTGCCATCTTTGGTCAGCCCTACGCAAATGGGAAAATAAGGAAAAAAAGAGAAAGAGAGGGAAAGACAGAACAGTGGGAGAGCAAGGACACAGAGAGAGGGTGGAGGTTGTTTGCAAGGTTTAGTAGATAAGGATTCAGTGCTATAAAAAAAGAGGGTAAATATGCTATTAAAGCATAAGATGGAGGTATAGAAGGATAGGGACATGCATGGGAGGGACTAATAGAACTGTTTTTGATTAATGGTTTATTTATTTCTATTATATTACCTGCAAAAGGCTTTATTTTCTCTCAAACTTTGCCTTGAAATGCATTATTAGCAAGCTGATCTTATACAAAATCTCATGCAATAAAAGCCAATCCTCTCTTAGTCTTTAAAATGGAAAATTATTTTATTAAAACGATGACAAATGCATGAAAAAGCACCATGCATGTGCATCATCTGATTTATTTAGTTTTGCACAGCACAAAAGTCAACCAAAGTCAGTCATGCAAAACATAATCTGGTAAGAATTGAATTGGAATCAGCACACTTGCCTAGTAGTACTTTAGCATCTTCCACGTCAAAGTCTCCATCGCCATCAGCATCATAGGATACAAGTTTACCTAGTCAAGTAAATCTGATTTAGTCATGATTTGCATTGTGTATGATCCACTTTGTCAAAACAATATCTATCAAGAGACTTTAAACCAATACATCTCCTTAATATTATTTTAAGAAATTATATTTAAAAAGTTATAAAAATCTTTATTACTGTATATGATACTTTTATATATACACAAACATACACACTCATTTAACAGTTTGGGGTGAGTTTTTAATATTTTGAAGAGGTGCCGTGTCCTTACAATTTGCTGTAGTTATTGGATCAATAACTACAGTAAATGATATTGTAGAAATTAATTACAAATTTAAATATCCATCGTCTTTTTTTCAGGATTCTTTGATGAATAAAAAGCTCAATTTAACATTTGCCTTTTGTAACACTATAAATGTTTTAATGTCAACTTGAGGTATTTGTTTTACAGAAGTATTAATGTCTTCAAAGCATATTCTTAAAGGGATAAGAACAACCCCCACCAAAAAAATTCTACCATTATTTACTCACTTTTTATTTGTTCAAAACCTATTTGAGTTTTTTTTTAAACACAAAAGAAGGTATTTTAAAAACTGCTAGTTGCTGGCACCAATTGACTTCTAAAGTATTTTTTCATAATATGGAAGTCGATGGGGGCCAACAAATAGCATTCTTAAAAATATCTTCCTTTGGTTCAACAGAAAACAAGCAAAAACTCAAATAGGCTTTGAACAAATGACGTGACAAATGAGTGTGAGCAAAAAAAAAAAAAAAAAAAGGTAACACTTTTAATTTTAAAATCCATGCTATTAAACTACTGGCTTATTGCCTGCCTATTATGAAGATATTAACTGCTCATTAGTAGTTATAAAAGTTATTCTGCATCCCAAATCCTACCCAAAACCTAAACCCAACTTCTACCTTTCTAATTATTAATAAACAGCTAATTGGTAGTTTGTTAAGCTAGTAGTGTTAGTTTATGATTTTATTAGGGCTGTGTGATCAATCTAAAAGTAATCGAAATCAACATTCAGAACCTATAATCAATTAATTTTTTCAGGATTTTTTCCTCTTACTTTCCCTACATGTCAGGTGAGCCCGCTCTGGTAAAGGCTGTGGCTGATTTATTCTTCTGAAGCTATTTTGCAGCCACATCTGAGTCAAGTAGGACCTATTCTTGAGCCTTACTTTGGACTATGTTGACGATGATTGGAAGCTGCACTAAAATGGCATATTATCCACTACATTAAAATTATTTACATTAAAATATTTGTTTACAAAAGATGCAAATGTTTAAAATATTATTTATAGAATAAACAAGAGTTACTTGATTTAGAAGAGATACTGCTTATTTTCTACTTTTATTATGAAAAACACTGAAAATAATTTATTTTGTTTCCAAAAGTTATTATTTTCACTTTTTTACAAGAAAAAAACTGACTGTTGGTTTTAGGAAACGTGTGCTTTAATTTCAGTTGTTCAACATAGATGTTCAATGAAAAAAAAAAAATCATAGACAGAAGATAGTGTGTGTTTTCTTCAATTATTTAAAAAGTAATGCACCTTTCATTCAGAAATCTCTCACTTGTAATATGTGAGCATATTTACTGTCAAAAAACGTATCAGTGAACTATGATGACAAAAAAATAAATAAATAAAATAATCGTTCATTAATTGTAATCGAGTTAAAATGTTTAATTAATTGAGATTTCGATTTCAGGCCAACTCGCCCAGCCCTAGTTTTTATAATACTGTCAATTTTGACCTAAACTAAAGTGCTGCCAAAAAACTCAAAGGTCTCCACATGAGGGAGAATAAATGAGTTCATTTTCATTTTTGGGTGAACTAACTTTTTAATGCGAACCCCAAACGTTTTATCAGAAGTGTATGATAATACAAATATACACTTTATACACACAGTAGGGGAGGAATTGACAGCAAAAACAAAAAAGAAACTAAGCGTTACTTTATTTCCCTACATTTAATGGAAGATGAAAGGTTCAATCAATGAAATGAGGTTTAGAGTAGTGACTGATTATAACCACCAGTTTAGATGTCATACCTTGTAATACCTCTGAAAGATTATAGCGCAAGTCCTTTGCTTTGGCTGCATGCAAATTAAGGCCAGATATACAAAAACAATTACACACCACATTTATGTAAGAGTATTTTTAAAAGATATACACCAAGTTTGAAAACACAAAACCAAAACTCACCGATTACCCCTTGATAGTCAACAAGGTCAAAATACACCACAGCTACAGAGGTCCAGACACCCAGCAGAGCCAAAACCATGAACCAGGTGAAGAAAGAGGTTCCTCCTCCAACCTCTGCCTTCTTCCCATTCTTGTGTGCCTGCTGTGGCTTAGCCTCTGAAGGACAAAATGCACAATGTCAGGTAGAAATAAACAAAAAGTTAAGTACCAATTAATTTAACACCATAAAATCAACGCAGCAGAGGAAAGCCCTCTAGAAACACGTGCTTAGAATCAAACCATGCATTTGACAGCAACATTACACTTTTGCTACTAATGTACTATTTTTCATTTCAATTCAAGGCCACTATCTGACAGAATACAAAATTTAGTTAGCTAGAAATCTACTGTAGACCAAGGAGTTCTCAAATACACATATGAGATTAAATTATTTCTGGTTTAAAGAAAGGTTCACTTAAATGGGTAGAATTTTTCATAATAATCACAAGGTGACAAAAGTCTAAAAGAGTGCAGTTATTCTGAGGTCTGTTGACACTCCTCATGGAAGCGCGATTTATAAATACATCTACATTCAGAACTCTAGTAGGAAGAATGAACAGGTGTTTTGTCCGCTAAGTTCTGCTAGGTCAAACCACACATTGGTTCATGCACACGCACACACAATACAAAAGTTAGTAACAGATATACAAACAGAAAAAAAAACACTAAAGTATTACAACACATACATTCTTTTTACATTTTGAACAGGTGTTTCAAAATGAACGTGATTTCACAATAAATAAAAACACAAATTTTCCTCAATTCAAAATTTCACTTAACCCCAAGCAATTTCCAAAAATATCATCAAATTGTTACTGCTTGTATACAAGCACAAATGAAACCTAAAAAAGAACTATTAAACATGATTGCATTTAATTTCTTATGTTAAGTGTTTCTCTCACACCCCTATGATTTGTTAAATGTCATCTCTCATCGTAACCAAATAAAATACATATTCCAAATACTATACCAGCTTCTTCATTCACCACCTTGACCTCTGCATTGGGCTCCCCCATCCCTCCAGATAAAGTAGGGAAGAAGAAAGCGTTTTCACCCCAGACCTACCCCGAACCCCTGTACAACAGCAGTACTCCTGCCTTTTTGTTCCCAGTGAATTGAGCCGGAACTTAATATGGAACGCGACCAGCAAATGGATTATTTTTAGATCGTCCCTTTGAAAGCCAGAAAAGCACTCATAGGAAAGGGTAGAGGCAAATCCCACTCCATCCTGCTGTTCTTAGTCACATTTGAAAGCAGAAATGGGCACCCAAATTACTATACTTAACAAAAGAGCAGCAGACATTTAAGGATGCACTGCTTTATCACATATGTGCGTTTTAATGGTATGCAAAACTTTAGATGGCTCTTTTTTTTTTTTTCAGCCTCCAGGCAGAGTAGCATGTAAATCTTGGCAAACTCACTGACTATTTATTTTGCATACAAAGAGCAAATGACCGGTCTCCCGAGTTTCTTGATGAAATTCTAAACAGGTTAGCAATAGATTCTGGTTGAACTTGCCAAAACCAAAGCAAATGTGTTGCTAGAATACACAACTCTGCCTCAATCTGACATTATTTGTCAGTGTAAATGTCATAATGTGCTTAAATGATCATGAAATAAGGTACCTTTAAAAAAAGCTTACTCTAATTTTCTCAAAAGAAAAATAGCGCTTGTCTAGGCACTTTACACAATTATTTTTTTTTTGGGGGGGGGGGGGGGGGGGGGTTAGTGCATCCGTCAGACTACACACACCAGTTGATTGGTGGAGAGGAGACAGAGTTATTTGCGAAGGCGAGCGGCGCGAAGGCATCCTGGGATTTTTAACAACCACAGAGAGTCAGGACCTCAGTTTACATCTCATCTGAAAGATGGCACTTGCTGAGCAGTATAGAGTCCGTATCAATATATTGGGGTGTTAGGACCCACACAGAATACAGGTTGAGCGCCCCCTGCTGGTCTCACTAACACCACTTAGTAGCAAACTAGCTTTCCCATGCGGTCTCCCATCCAGGTACTGACTGGGCGCAGCCCTGCTTAGCTTCAGTGGGTGACCATGTGAGAGTTGCAAAGAGCTAGCTGCAGGCAAATAATAGTTTTTATACTTATTATTTAGTGTAATAATATTAGTTCTAAGTAAGTTCTAATAATATGCTAAACTTGATATGGACATGCTAGTATTGAACTTGGTCCTGTTACCCAATGCACAGGGCATTGTAGACGCAAGTATTCATGGTTCTGAAGCAGATTTATGAATTATGTTAGACACACATATGCTGCCCACATACAGACAACCATTTTTAATAGTCACATCTAAATTTACCATTAAAAATATATGGGTAAAGCAGTGGCGGATTGGGTAGCATGATCGCCTCGCAGCAAGAAGGTCGCTGGTTCGAGTCTTGGCTGGGTCAGTTGGCATTTTTGTGTGAAGTTTGCATGTTCTCCCCGTGTTCGCGTGGGTTTCCTCCGGGTGCTCCTGTTACCCCCACAAGTCCAAAGACATGCGATATAGGTGAATTGGGTATGCTAAAATTGACCATAGTGTATGTGTGTGTATGAATGAATGCATATGGATGTTTCCCAGTGTGGGTTGCAGCTGGAAGGACATCCGCTGCGTAAAGCAAATGCTGGATAAGTTAGCAGTACATTCCACTATTAATTCCCAAATTAATAAAGAGACTAAGCCGAAAAGAAAATGAATGAATGACTATTTTATTTGCATATAATTTGGCATAATCAGAATTCCACGTTGCATTAATAAACCTATTTATTATATTGCAATACATAGCCACATTTTTATTTTGTTACATTTCAAATCAAACAATACACTGTTAAAACCATATCCACTACTGTTAGACTTTGAGGTCACTTAAAAAAAACAACAATCACATATTTAATCCATGAACTGTTGTCGTCCAGTACTCAGGACATTTTTCTAAAATATATGTTTTTGATAAATCTGAACTTAAACTGACAAACTGTAATTTGCATACATCACATAATTTTCAATTGTGAATTTTAAATGTGGGGTGACAGTTTATATAATCAAAATAATAATAATTATAAATATATTTTTTTTAAATAATTAAAAACAGAAACTTTACCTTATTAACATTACCTTACCTAAATTTATTCTAATAAAATAACCAGTTTTAATTATATTAAATGACCCTTTCAAAAGCCATTGCGCCAGTCTTTTTATTTTATCCACCAGAACCCATTTTAATTTGCTGATATCATTCTTAAAAAAACTCTTTGCATTATTTATAATTATGTTATATTACGGTCAGTGTTGAAAAACTAAATTTCTTTTAAATCAAGCCTCCAAAGTTTGCCACAGTGAAAACAATGCACCATTCGAATCTTTCAGACAGATCAAATCTGCAAGCAATGTTTGGAAATAACAAGACACACCCCTAAAGAAACACACACACAACTCATCGCTAAAGCTGCAGATAGTCAAATGGCTGCCACTGTATGCTAATCAACATCTTCCCCTCCCCCATTTATACCTGCTTATGAAAAACAGAGCTTCAAACCATACACGTTTGTGAGTCCAGCACAGATTTTGCTGTTGCTTCAACTATGCCTTTGTCGTGCACAATCATTGTCCAGCTTACATAACATTGCATGGAATGTGTGCCTTGAACTACCCTCTCTTCTTCGGTTGTACATACACACGCCACTGCATAAAGCAAGCAGTTCCTGTCTGGTCAGGAACCAACTGTGGACATTAACCCCTTCTGTGATCTTATCAGCACATACCACAACCAGCAAACCGAAACTTTATTCAGAATAAAACATTACATAAAAAAAGTCAAAACTCCAAAAGAAGTTCAAATATCTAAGATCATTAAGCCATTAAAATACATTTAAAGAGTATTTTGAATGCTATGCATTGTTATGTATACATATTAGTGCCAATCCATCTGGACTGACCAATGTTTCTTGTTAAATGCATTGCTCAATCTTTGAAAGCTAATGGCATTTCAATTTTTACTAGTAAACAACCTTGTACGACATAGACAATTATAAAATTCAGGCATTTAATACAATTACATTGTATTAAATAAAATGTAATTTGTATTTAATGTATATTAAATACCAAAATACAAACACACACACACACACACATGCACGTTTATTTAAGCTAAATCTCACTATCAATGGTTAAATGCTTGGGTTAAAAAAATGCAAGCACATCATGACAAACTTGTTTCTTTACCAATTCTTTGGAACTCTGAAAGATATTTTCTGTACGGCTGAAAAACTTCCTGAAAGGAATGGTTGTGACAATTGATAAAAAATACCCATTTTATCACGTTATGATCAGCTGGTTTACTTTTCAAAGCATTACATTATAAATGCAAAAATATAAGCATAGTGGTTGTAAAACTGTTAACAGTTCAGTAGACATTTAAATGGGTGTGGCTCCTGTCAATATAATTATCGTTTCATCAAAACCGTTTCATAAGAAAAAAATACAGTACATCAATTTAACAAAGAAAATGTGGTGGTATGCTTAGTACTGCTGACACAGCATTTTACACAATCTCTCAGATGAGAAAAGTTTCATGCCATTTTGATTTATTAATTTTCATAGTTCATAATGTAATTTCTTCAAACGATAGAACAACATGCATCATCCGTCCTTTGAAATAGCTTGAAAATAGCCACCATTATAACACATGAATAAAATGCCTACATGATGAATTAAGCTTTTCCATGAACAAAATTGGCTTTACCATGAAGAGTCGTTAAGGAACATAAATAGAAAGTGCAGACTAGCAAGACGCAATACTTAACTAAAGAGTAAGAGAATTATTAGCTAACGTTATATATAATGTAATGACAATTCTAGAGCATAAATGTATTGTAGCATGAATATATTTTATTGAATACGATATGGTAACTTACAATTTACTGCTAACATTTCTTAATGATAATATTTTACATTACTACAGTAGATTTATTTTCTCTAAACTACTATTTTAAATATACCCTTACGTGTGTAAAAATTTCACTAAATGGGTTCATGAACCCTCAAAAGCCCACTAGTTAATATACCACGCTTACATAATAATCACGCAGTTACTAAAGTCTACAATAGTAGCCAGATTGCTAACACCGGACGTTGTTGACCAGCAGTGGGGTCTTGCAGTGTGGCACTTTCTTTTTAATTACAGTCTGTGGGGACATGATGGGACCCCAGAGGCCACGTGTAACCCCTCCCACGATCTCCCAATAATGACACGTGAACATATGAGAGCTCGTACCGGGGCAACTCTTGACTCTAGCCATGAGCAAACATTTATCTGAAAATATAGGTCATTTGATGATGTCGGGAATTAGGCAAATAGAAGGATAAACAAGGCCCCGTGGGTCTCGCGAACACAAGGCTAAAATCTCGCAGAAGTTCTGCAATCACCTCTTACAATTTTGCAAATGCACAAATATGATTGGAGAATTCAATACACCCCTCTTTAAACGTTTGGGGGGGAAGTTGTGACTTGCTTGGAATGTAGAGCGAATTTGCAGGAAAACGAAAGCAGCGTAGTTTATACTGCACAACTAGTCGACAAATACATTGAGATAATGTTGTTATTCCTCGTTTATGAGTGCACACAAAATTAAACCAACAAAATCAATTTTACCGCCTGATTAACTCTCAGGCCTTCGCTAAATTCTACGTATTCTAGAAGGGGTATAAAACGCATAAACATACACACCTTTCTTAACTGGTCCTTTTACGTTTTTCTTGGCCATTTTAAGTGGTAGCTCTTCGACGTTTCTCTGTCTGCAGCAAATAAACTGACTGAAATTCCAGCCTCAGTTCTGGTACTGATGCCCTGCAAAATCAAATCCCTATGCCTTCAAACGCCGAGGCCCATAGCAACCCGTCCCCCTTTTGAGTGACTGAGCGTTTGACCAATGGCGTTCAGTCAAAACTGCTAAGGGCGGGGAGAAGGGGAAATGTCACCCAATCGTCGAGCAGTGCCTGATGACTTATTCAATCGTGTGGATACCTGCGAGCTAAGACCGCCCAGTTGTGTTTGCTTTTTTTTTTTTGTCAGCACTGGAACGTGGCAAGATGGAAGGCTGTACTTATCGCGAGATCAATTCTATATAACTGTGCTGTGAATGAATTTAAAACAATTAAACATTATCATAACTTGTATAGTTGCGTATATCCGGCGAAATATCTCCGTATGTAGGTGACCTATATAGGTAAGTAGGCTGTGGTCTGCAAAAGTGTTGCATTGTAAAGTTGGAAATGAGATCCAAGCTTCCATCCTTTAGTATAAACACATTGCAGAAAATAGTAAATAAACTAAGTTTAAACAATTAAATAACTTATATAATTCAATAGGATGTCCAAAATAGAGGTGATTAAATAAAAAAGGTAAAAACCTTGTGCTTTCTTTGTACAACTTGTTCCCTTGACTACATGTTGTGCTCCACCCCTTGTGCTTTTGTCCACATCATCCTAAAACCAATGAAATGGTAGGTGTGTACACTCACATGAAGTTAAAACCGTTAAACACTTATATTAGAGAAGCCTAAACGGGAATGACGACTTGTGCTTCTGAAATGTTTATCAAATTACACTTAAAACAAAGCATACAAATATTTTATTAACCGTTTAAGTTTATTAATTTCTCAGTCTATTACAAAACATGAAAAATCCTCTGCTTTTAAAGATAAAATTCAGTGTGCTTTTAAAGAATCAAATATGTAAGTGTACTTATTTGCATCAGGCTAAAGGATTTGTCAAAGGCATTTGCTACGACATCTTTATTGGATCTGAAATTCTAAGCTCCTAAACAATGCTGCCATACTGCTTGCATGTCGGTCAAAGTAGCATAACTCAAGCGTATGAAAAGAGGATAAACTTTGACTTAATTATATCAAATTGTATTCAAAGCTATTTTAGATTTGCAAACAGTCATTAGTAAGCCTACATGGTGAAACAGTTCAGTAAAAATCTGTCCCACAAATTTTCATGACAAAAAAATATATATAGAAAATAAAAAAATTATTAACTGGCAAGGTTGATCAATTGAGACAAATTGTAACTATGAGTGCATTTGTTTAATGGTTCATCTTTAAACAGCAAACACAACACAATACACTTTTTGTTTTAGCACGTGAGATGGGAGCCATTTGGGCCTTCTCCACCATTTGGCATTTGTGAGAAAGTGCCATTGTAGATCAGGGGTGAGAATTACAGGGGGGTTTGAGGGGGATTGACCCCTCTAATTAATGCCTGATGCTGTCCTGAAGTCCATCAAAACAATATATATATATATATATATATATATATATATATATATATATATATATATATATATATATATATATATATATATATATATATATATATATATAGGGAGGATGGGGAGGTGTCACCCCCAAATAGCTTTCTCTGATCTATATCTTAAATGTTAAATAATAAAAATGTATAATATATACATTGGCCTATAACAGTTCATACCATTGTAAATGCATAATCACTCTAATCAATGCTAGGAAAAATATTCAACTGGCGGTTCTAGAGCACCAATAGACATTTTGAGTATCCACAAAACACATGTCTTGAAAAATAGCTGTTTACAATTTAAGTCAGAATTATTTGCCCCCCTTTTAATTTTTTTTCTTTTTTTTATATTTCCCAAATTATGTTTAACAGAGCAATGGAATTTTCACAGTATGTCTGATAATATTGTTTCTTCTGGTGAAAGTCTTATTTGTTTTATTTCGGCTAGAATAAAAGCAGTTTTAAATTTTTTTTACATCCGTTTAAGGTCAAAATTATTAGGCCTTTTAGGCTTTTTTTCTGATAGTCTATAGAACAAACCATTATTATACAATAACTTGCCTAATTACCCTAACCTGTCTAGTTAACCAAATTAACCTAGTTAAGCCTTTAAATGTCACCTTAAGCTGTATTGAAGTGTCTTGAAAAAAATAATAAATATTATTTACTGTCATCATGGCAAAGATAAAATAAATCAGTTATTAGAAATGAGTTATTTAAACTATTATGTTTAGAAATGTGTTAAAAACAATCTTCTCTCTGTTAAACAGAAATTGAGGGAAAAATAAACAGGGGGGGGCTAATAATTCTGTCTTTAACTATATCTGCATGTAGCTTAAAAAAAGAAAGCTTAGACACATAATTTGTAAAGTTTACCTACAGTAACCCCTAAAATAGTCAATAAATATTCTCAAAAACACTGAAAATGTATACATTTTATTAATAAAATGTAATTTAAGTACATTCAGAAACTTGATTTACTGAAGCATGTATAACCAAGTAGGTAGAGTGCTGTGTAAATCTTCAGGGTGTCTATTGTAAGGGTTTCGCATTAACTGTTTAGATATTTCAATTTGATTGTGGGATATGTTGTACAAAATTATAGTATTGTGTATTTTCACCAGCAGAGGGCATACATCGCTTTCTAAAAATATACCTCAATGTACATACAGTACAGGACATAAATAGGGCATAATGTGTTGTCATTGGTTCAAGTGTGATTTGGTGGAAATTGTGTAAAGTTAATGCAATAATGAAATGCAAATAATTGTTTTTTTCCCATCAACATTAAAACTACTACACATGCAAAAATCAAGAATAACATAATAAGCTTTCCTCCCAGTTGTAAACAACTTTTTGCACAGATAGTCCCAAATGAGCAACATGGGATTACGGCCCTTATGCAATAACACCATGGTTATACGAAGGTAATATTATCTTAGTTGCTAATGGAGACTGAATATTCAGTGTTTTTTATGTCTCTAACCATTAGACTACTATGCCATGGTTTTGAAGAATTTCTTATTGATTTTTTTTAAATGTTAATGGTAAATAATATACCACATAATAATGACAGGAATGTAGTTCAAAGCCACCCACTTGTTCTTGGCATGCTGAAGAAGCTAGATTGCGAAATGAGCAGGGACAAATATCACACAATGTTCTCTGAAAGTGTCCAGTTTCAGCTTTAATTAAGTTTAGCACATTGTGAAATAATGTGTCTGCGAATATATTTGTATCATTGTGATAAAGTATAATACAAAGGAGATAATTATTCACAGTATAACACCGAGTCAACACGATTATATTCAATTATGTTAGCGTAGATTATTTAGTAGTTTTTCTGCCATGTGAAACATATTTTGACATAAGGGTGCAACAAATTGAACAAACAGCATTATAAACAGGGTTTCAGAAAGTCACATTTATAGAAACCATGTAAACATGAAGAGCTCCAGTAAGGTCATTGGTCTGTTTGTTTAAGAATCGGAGCAGAAGGCAATAGAGCAAAGTGCCACTTTACAATCCCACTTGGTAGACTGAAAAGACAACAAAGGTTACCAATAGCTGCAATTTATTGTTACAATACAGATCCATTGATTTTTAACAGCTGAGGTGTAACAAACAGTTAATCCTTGATTAACTCCTGTAACATCCTGAGTTATGTCCAGTTTGATAAAAATATGCCAATAAACACCATCACAGATCAGAAGGCACTTATTATTTCAGTCATGTACAATATTATTACATTGTTCTTTTGCTATTTACAAGTGACTGTGGAAACCTTATACTAAAGGTAACAAACATCTGATATTTGATATCTGATGCTAGATCACATCTTCAGAAGCAAATCAAGTGCTTCAATACATCACATTATTATCCAAATATATATACTCAGTCAAACTAAGTAAACAGGAATGTTATTTCTTCCAGTTTGGAATATCTTAAAAGCTAATCACACAGACAATTTAAAAAAGCTGCACCATTCAGTCATGTCCAATATGAAAAAACCCAAATAAAAAAATGTTCAACATATGTTGAAATGATGAGGTGATGGTTCACACCTTCACTTTATGACTGAGAAGCATGTCCTCCTTCTCCACCTAAGTCAACAGAGAGCCTGTGCAGATAGTCTTCAGACTGCATGATGTACTCGGTCCACTCTTGACACACTTCATCTACGCTGGGTCCAGTTCCTCCATACACAGGAGGGAGTACTGCCTTTGGAAAGTAATTGCAGAGACTTCGGGCATATGAACAGCCATGCATATGAATCTATAAGGGCAAACAACACAACAGTTAGTAGCATCTAGAGCTGCACGATATTAGAAAAATCTGACATTGCAATATTTTATTTTATATTGCTCTATCAATACAATTTCGGCAGATGACTTGAATAGTTCTATTAGTAATAAAATCATTAAGTTTGATTGGAATAATCTTGTAAAGGAGTGAATTTGCAAGAAGAAATAAATAAGATAGAGTAAAGATAAAAGTAAAATAAGAAGTCAGATATCCAAGTACAGTAATACAATATGATATTATCATGATGTTTTGCCCACGATAATGATAGATCAAAATATCAGTGATAAATCACAAGAAAAAGCCATCCACAATATATTATGATATTTGTAAATAAAGAGGGAAAATGCATCAAAAACTTATAAGATGTATTTCTGTTATGACCAGCAAATATATTTCTTAGAATGGCAACATTAATATGTTCAATCCGCCATTACGTGAAGAGCCACTGCATGCATTTCACTATTTTGTCCCTATCTATTATCTGCCCCTATTATTGAATAAATGTAATGTAAAAGTAAAAACTGCACATTCTTCATTGCTGATGAACTATAATAATCCCAACTCCACATTTCAGATGCTGCGATATGATTATTGCGAATACACACATTGTGAGATCGATGCTGAAACGATATATTGTGCAGTCCTAGTGGCGTCAGCATATGTGATGAACACATTACTGTTTAATAGAGAATTTTCATAGAATTCTATCAATTTACTTTGAACATCAGAGCATTCATCTAACGTAGATCTTTTTGCCTCAGTAAGACATTAAGGAAACATTTCTGCTCAAACCATGGTGTTGTTGGTTCATATAATGCAAGTCAGCAGCTACCAGAACACTAGTCATGTGATTACTGATTTGTATAGCCTCTACATGTTTTTTCACTTGCAAAGTGCCGATAGCAGTTGACTTGCATTTTATGAATCACCACCAAGCATAAGGGTTTCAGCAAAAAAAAAAAAAAAAAAATATATATATATATATATATATATATATATATATATATATATATATATATATATATATATATATATATATATATATATATACATATATGTATGTGTGTGTGTGTGTATGTGTGCGTGTGTATAAATATATTTTTTCAGCTAGAATAAAAGCAGTTTTAAATGTTTTAATTAAGGTCAAAATTATAGACAATCGAAAAAATATATAGCTTAAAGGGGCTTATAATGTGTCCTTGAATTTTTTTAAATTAAAAACTGCTTTTATTCTAGCTGAATTACAACAAATAATAATTTATCCAGAAGAAAAAATATTATTTGAAATACTGTGAAAATTTCCTTGGTCTGTTAAACATCATTTGGAAAATATTTAAAAAGAAAAAACAATTCAAAGAGGGGCAAATAATTCAACTGTGTAAATATATATATATATATATATATATATATATATATATATATATATATATATATATTTATTATATTTATATATTTATATATATATTTATAGTCACCTTTGTCTTCTTATACGTATATTTAAATAATACTAACCCGTTGTTTGATTTTGTCTGGAAGAAATGGTCGGATCATAGCAAAGACAGGACGGAAAAAAATTGGCTCGTTTATCAAGTGGATGCCACGCACTTTCAATGGAAAGGAATCCTGCAAAACAAATTTCATATTTAATTTGTTTATTTTTTTAACTCATTCAATGCTTTGATTTATTTAAAAAATAATAATTTTAAAAGCTAGCTATAAGAGGAAGACAATCTACAAAACAACTATACATTGATAACCAACTGTTTTCAGACACACACCACAAATTTCACAGACCACAACGAAAGTGTGAACCTGAGTCCAAGAAACCATGAGACCGTTAAACATAAAAGCTACCTCTCAAATTGTCTCAAAACCTCACTGATACCTAAACAGGAAGCAGTCAAGTTCATGACTTTTTTTGGTCTGCACTATTTGCACAGAGTTTCTGTATTTGCACGTTGTCCAAATTTGCATGCACAGACATCCCACCTCTACTGCATATAGTAGCTCACGGATGCCAACAAACTAGATACAATATTTCAGAAATTATGGAGGCAAGAGGTGAAAAGTGAAAGCAACAGATTGTTGCTCACATGTAAAGATATAGTAAGCTATAAATTACACAAATAGCACAGTAAAGAACATCTAGTGCAAATTGGCGTGGTCATTGGAGCTGCCATGATGCATCCTAGGGCTTTGAACACATAAATTGTCAGGATTCTGTTCTTAAACCGTTTCATCCCGCCACACTTAGATAATCTTGAATCAATAGGGGGCTTGATACATCCCAAAATGAGTTTTTGCAGGGCAGGATATCTGCATGCACAACAAATTAAGCTCTTTTACCAATTTTTGCTGGTGTTTTTCTATTTGCATGTGTTTTCTTGCAGCACATTTGAGCTCTATAAGCCACTGTATGTCAGAGGGGCAAATGTATAAATAGACACTTACCGTAAGAACAGAGGATATCTTTTTTGCCAAAGAAGGATTTATTTGCAGAGCATGAGCAAAACACCAATCTTGGAGATCAAAAATCGCTTTGAGTCCATTTCTTTGCGTCTCCCATTCTTGAACTATCAGCTCTGACGTAATGAGGCTGACACGAAAAACCTCATAGGCTGTGAACTCTTTGGGGTTCCATTTACCTTAAAAAAAGAGTTTGGAAAATGGTAATATTCAATATTTTAAGGGCAGAGAAAAGTTTTGAATTATTGCTTGTGTATGTACCTGCCAATCCGATAGATTAAAACTCGACTTCCAGCATCATCTCTCGATCTCAAAACTCCATGGTAGTTGTTTTGGAGAAGTCCAATGACGGATGAGGGACGCAGATCGGCTGTTATTTCTGGACATTCTTGTCTCCATTTATGATAGTTAATCAACAGCTGTGAATTACCAACAATCAAATCTATGAATATGTATGATACAGTCTCATCAAATGTGTAAGAAATAAACAGTCCTGTATATTTTTAGAAAAAATATCAGGAGGAAAATGAAATTTATGGAACATAAATAACAGATACATGGCTCATAGTGATTGATATTATGTATGCATCGATTGAAAAATCGACCACTTGTATACATTAAATTAGTAATTGACAACCAGTGGTGAAAAGAGTACTGAAAAATCATACTCGTGTAAAAGTACCATTACTTACCCAAAAATGTAGCGCAAGTAGAGTAAAAGTATTTGTTGTAAATATGACTGAAAGTATGAGTAAAATGTAGCCCTTTTAAAACGTACTTAAGAGTAGTGAGTAGTGAGTACGCTGTGAAAAATGTGTTTACATTGCAATTTGTGCAGGGATGTGTAAACGTAACATTCTGTAGTGAATTTAATAATTGTTTAAGGCCATTTGGCCACATCCGCCATCTTCTCAACAGTGACATGCAGATTAAACAGTCTCTAGGTCATTGTGTGTAAAGATTTTGGACATACTCTTGGACACTTTTAGTACTAGCGAATGGTTTGGTGCATTTATAAAGCGCACATGACTTGAGGTTGTTCAGTATGGTGAGATTTATATTATGTGCGAAAAACAGGACCCAAACCCCACCAAGCAAGACTTATCTACACTGTAAAAAATATAGTATACAATAGACTAACAACCAGCTGCAAATAAATTTTCAGTTTATTAAGCTTCAGTGGTTGAAGTTGTGCCTAATTATTTTTTAAGTTGACTGTCAGTTTTAAGTCAAGTATACTTTATGCAATACTTTATGGAATAACTTAAAATTTTAAGTTAACTCAACTTTTTATTTTTTACATGGTAAACGCTTAAATGAAGAAATCAAAATTCAAAGTCTTCTCAAAACTTTTTTTTTTTACTTTCGTTGAACAAACAGTTCCAAACATGCAGTTAAATCATTTTTATGAGTAAATTCAACTCTGAGCTCAAATATATGTTCACCTATATAACTTACAACATTAAACTGAGTTAACAATTTGTAACTATAGGAGAAAAAATATATTATCTTTATGACCTATGATTGCTAATTATGAAATAACTGAAACGCATAATATAGAGGGTTTTAAATAAGCAAGCTAAACCCAATCTCAGAAACCATTAACTTGAAAAATAACTTTTTATTTGTCATATTATTCTAAAGTGTGTCAGTTGGTCTGTCGCCAGTAGCTAAATGTTATTGCTAATCAAATCACGTATCACCAAAGGTGTCACTATCACTGCAGACAACACGCGCATCTTTTTATTACACATTAATATGAGCGTTCCGTTATCGCTTATGTCAAACAATAATCCTACAAACCTTGAGCGCCAGCGCCACATCAAAGTCTCTCGCCTGCAAAAACCGTATCAAAAAAGTTTTCGACAAGTCCAAGTCTCGAATGCGCAATTCTGCCTCTGCTTTTTCTTTCAACTCTGACAAATATGGTGCAATCCGGGAGGAATCAACAGGTAAATTGTTTAATTCTTCAGTCTCGTCTACTTCTTCGGACTTCATATCTGCGACGGGCGGTCCAGTGTCATGTTGTTCTCAGAGCGGCAGTCCAGTCTTACGTAAAAAGGGGCAGGAAATGAGCCCCCTCACATGAAAATCACAACTCGTCTATGCTTTTTTCACCTTTGTACAGGTCAAGTTTCGTCAAAAATTAACCAAGAAAGCTCACTGAACTAAATTCTCACACTTGCAGCCTTACAGAGACACACGCCTTAAAAAACACACACAGTAGCCTCTATGGCACATTTCCAACGAGCCTATAGCTACGTGCGTCCTCCAGATGTTTAGGAGGAAGTAAAGGAGATCGATGAATTAATTTATCATCCTGCAGTTCATTACGAAGTTACTATTATTCTGGAAATAAATTTGTTTAACATTGTTATACACAAAAGAGCAAAAATAAATAAATAAATGGGTAGATAATTGGATGAATGAATGAAAATAAAAATTAAAAGCATCTTAGAAATGAATCATTCAAATGAAACATTTAAATAAATAAATATTAAACAATGTCAGTTAACAGAAAAGAATCTGAATAATATATTTAATAAAGTTTGTAATATTTTTTTTATATTTGATTGGGGTAAATCCAGAACCAATAAAAAAATAATAATAATATTTTATTTAATACATATCTATTACTCAACAACATATATTAAACAAAGCATTGTGTAGGTTTGGGGCTCGTTCAAAGTTTTTAATTTAGTCTCTTGAATGAAAAAGCATTGACTCATGTCCTAGTAGCCACCAAACAGAACCCTAACATGGATCAAATAAAACATTAAATAAAATTTAAAAATTTACCTAATTGCCTAACATAATTAACGTAGTTAAGCCTTGAAATATCACTTTAAGCTGTATATAAGTGTCTAGAAAAGTATCTTGATAAATATTATTTACTGTCATCATAGCAAAGATAAAATAAATCAGTTATTAGAGATGAGTTATTAAAACTATTATGTTTAGAAATGTGTTGAAGAAATATCTCCGTTAAACAGAAATTAGGGGGGAAAATGAACATAATTATATAGCTATATATATATATATATATATATATATATATATATATATATATATATATATATATATATATATATATATATATATATATATAGTTCCCAACTTGAATGTGACTATCAACCACATGTAATCACCTTTGATATGGCTTTATTTGTCTTCCTACGCTTTAGCTATTTAAATCTTAAAATTTATCATTTTATTTTTGAAAAATCATCTGTTCGCCTACCATTTTAGATGTTACTATAATCGATAAATCAATTGTTTGGCACTTAATTTTGTGGCTAACATAACATAGCCGATAGCTAAACTCAAGGACGCAGCGATTGAACATCTGTCTGCATGGTGACGTCACGCGCCTCCCTTTTACAATGTAGCGCTCGGCGCAGTTTCCATATTTATATGTCGTTTGGCTCCTCGTCATTCATTTGAAAGCCCGCTTTAATATTAAGCAGCGACACGATCAAGTTTGCATGGCTTCGTGGAGGTATGTACACAAAAGTGCTTAATCCTGAAACGAGCGTATAATATATCAGTTTCATCCACCCTTGTGGGATGCTGCAGTGATGGTGCGGGGATTTAACACGGATGCTGCCTGTCGACTAAAAATGTATAACCTTATCAATGTTATGCAGTATGATATAATGGGTGAATTACTACATCAATGTGTGGTTTTATTCTAAGAGTATACATATAAGGAAGATATTTAGGGCATCATCGCGAGTGTTGTCTTGTGTTCGACGTTATTATCTGAGCATTGTATGTCGAATAGGCCTGGTTGCCATCATGGTTTAACTCTTATGATTTTGATTTTTTTTATAGGTTACACTAGAAGGATGGAAGGCTGTTTGTGATCCCTTTGGATGTGCTGGCATTCTGAAAGCACTGCCTCCGGCTGTTGTGCTTTGTCCATCAGGCTTCCAGTGTCAGCAGGCACAGTGGAAAAGGAAACATTCAGCATTATTTCACCAGGATGAGATTTATATACCAATAGATCTTTTAAGAAAAAGAAAAAAAAACACTTCTGTTCAGAATCTGCTTCGAGAGAGAGATTCAAGTCTTAATGTGTGTAGATTTTTTTTCAATTGGTGTTTAGATATTCATCACACAGAAGAATTTCTGTTTGCATTTTAGGCTCTCGCTGTACGTGTTCACAGTGGACCTTGATTTATTGTATTTCAATTAAGGCACGCGGTGAATGCCAACAGCACAGCCATTTACACTTCAGCAAATATAAACTTCTATATGACTTATATCTACTGTTTTTGTTTTCTGTACATTTGTTGTGAAATTATTTTTATGTTACTACACTCTGAAATGTTGTAAACCAAATTTTAGTTAAATACAAACAAATACAACCAGTTCACCTAAAATTGGTTAGAAATGAAGTTAACCGTTGATTGGACTTGTCCATATTTTACCCCAAATTTGAGCTGTTTTCTTTTTTTACAGAGGCATTCTTATGTTCACTGTTTAAACTGTCAGACTGATAGTGAATGGTGATTACTAAAGTTTAGTGATCGGTGATTGCTAAAATAAGCTTTTCTGTAATCTGTCTGAATTGACACACTTGTGATTATGAAAGTATTCACAATTTTGTGACATTAAATAAAAATCTGAGACATTCAATATTATGAATAGTCCATCTCTAATATCTATCAGTTTAGAGCTATTCTGCATTTTTAGGGTTGACTTGGTGGTTGTTTTCATTTAATAACAGGACTCTTTTAAGAAACATGTTCAAGTGTTCTTTGACATGTTAACATAAACTATTGGCGAAAAAGCCTCACGACAACTATCTCAATGTGATCAAATCTAAAACTTCTGTTAGAATTCTTGTAACAAATAAAGTCTTCGTGTTAACATTAGAGAGTAGGCCTACTGCTTAAAACTGAATAAACAGAATTCCAGAATACATCTCGCTATCAACAAGAAGGATTTATCAGTCATTTCAACATGTTCATAACATGCTTCTCATTTGCTTAAATGCACTGAACATGAGGAGTGATCTCAAATCAGCTATTCAGCATAAACCCCATTTTTATAAAACTCATAAAAAACTGCATGGTTAGCAATATTCTAGCATATTTTATGTCTACCTTTTATCTATTCAGTGAAAAACAATACAACATGATATAGAATATCTGTTAGAAATGTTACAAAAAATATAGTTTTTTCATAAATATTAAAAAAAGAGTTGTCACCCTTTCAACTATGATTTAATAGTTCCTGCAACATTTCTTCAAAAGCTGCTTCTGCTTTTCCAATGTGTGAAATGTAGGAGTGATCTCTGATCAGCAATGTAATGCAAACTGGTTCATAAGTTGAATGATTCATGAAAGGCTACATTTTTATGCTGCTTATCAGTTTTTCTTACCTATATTTTTTATTAAGAAGAAATATCTAAAATAGGATAATAAAAAAGGAACCACAACTTTGGGTAAAGTATCTAACAATCATTACAACAGTATCTAATCATTACAACAAACATCACAAAATTGAAAGTACTACGCAAAACCATAGGAGATAAAACAACCACCACCTCGTTCCAACAAAAAACATTTAAGACAGGAGAACAGGTGGACATTGTTCTCTTAACGTTTAACATTAGACTACTTCAACACCTATCACTTCTTCCAAAATGTCTCTTTCACCCTTTGTCTTTTCAATTTATGTGTGAGCCATGTGTGCTCAACTATGTTTGCATGTACACATATAGGCCTATACATGCCTCATTACCACGCACACATAAACAGTCAGGGAAAAACTCACATTGAATACAAACATATTTATGAATCCATTTTAGCTGTAACTAAAAGTCCATTTTATTTTAACACATTTGGGTAAATTTGGCCGGTAACTAATTAATAGAGTTTGCATAAATTTACACAGTACTACCTGACTAAATATAGTTCACTTAAATATGATATATCATTTACTCGACCTTCACTTGTCACGAGCCTGTTTGAGTTTCTTTCTTCTGATAAACACAAACGAAGATATTTTGAAGCTAGTAGAACTGACTTTCATAGTAGGCTATTTGTTTAATTTCAGTGGATGTTAGTGGCTATCCAATGTTCTTCATTTTTTATTTTTTGTATAACCATTTAAGACCAACTGATGGGGAGTAAATATAAGTAAATGTTAATTTTTGGGTTAACTGTCAAATAAATTTAATGCAATGCCCAATGCAAAGTTTAAAACGTCATGCTGAGTCACCAGAGTCCTGCTTTATGCAGAACTGTATCTTACTGCATCCAAGTTAGAACTTAACACAACAATGGTTGGCAACAGTGGCAAAATGATGTAGGCTTGCCCATATACAGTATATTGTCTTCTTAACCTAGAAGTTAAAATCAGCTGAACACCAGTTTGAACAAGCTAAAACCAGTATCATAAGCATGCACAAAAACAATCCCTTAAAAATACATTCTGAAACTCAATGTCTTGTGCAACACAGTCTGTGCTCAGATTTGAGGACTAAAGTCACACACAAGATCGGCTTCTGATATAGATGTCAAATCGACTTGTTTTTTTTAGTGTGTGTGTGTGTGTGTGTGTGTGTGTGTGTGTGTGTGTGTGTATGTGAGTGAGTGAGTGAGTGAGTGAGAGAGAGAGAGAGAGAGAGAGAGAGAGAGAGAGAGAGAGAGAGAGAGAGAACGCGCCTCACGCGCTTTCACAGTGTCGGGCAAAATGGCGGACAAAACGCCAGGTGGGGCCCAGAAAGGCAACTCTAAGGTATTTTATCACTTTTACGTTTTATTCTAGCATATTAAAATCGATATTTTTGGTTTATGATACGAAACGCTCAATAATTATGTGATTGACTGAGTCGTGTGTTTTTCTGGCATTTGAGAAAGGTCCATTAAGCAGCTCAGTTGTGATGCTAACTCGCTAGCAGTGTTGTTAGCTAGACACCGGCGGTGCACAGATTTGATCTGCAATATACTAAAATATGTTTGGTACATATGCTACACTTAACTAAGCTTGTTTTTTGTTATTATACGTTTGAAGCCAACACAGAACATGAACGAAGTTGCTGTGTTTTTATTGTGTGATGACAATGCTAACACGGAACGTAGTGTTTATGAAGATTACAGTATTGTATTGATTTCTGAACGTTTTGAACACACATGTATCGTTAAATAGGAGATAAGAATTGTTGATGCTGTGTGGATATCAAATTCGCGAATTTGCATGTTTACATTTGTGCTAAGATGTCAGTTTTGCTTTGAAGAGCTAACTTAACGTTAACAAGTTTCGCTACATAGTGACCAATATTGCCAGTCACGTGAACGTGTCAAATACCCTGAGATACTGTAAATACACGTTTTTGTTGTCATTTATATTGTACTTTTAGTCGTAACAGTACTCATAAAAGACAATTCAGCTCATATTTTTTTTGATACTCTGATAAATTAATGTTTTCAATCTTGATGGCTGGTCATAGAAGTTAACCCTTATGTACTGTTGGGGGATTTTGAGTCTTAATTTGGCCATAAGTTTTTCTGTTTCAGCTAGCAGAATGATGTTTGGTGACAAATATTGTTTTGACACTTATTTTCAGAAAATTGACTACGCTTTTGTCATGTTTGCGATGAAAACATCCAATAAATTAAACTGCTGTAGAAATGCATTAGATAAGTCTTTTTAAAATGCTTTCGAAATTTGTTAAGCAACAGTCTTGATCAATACTACTAAATTGATTGGAATATTACATTTTTTTAACTCTTTAATTGCCAAATTCATAAATGATGTCACTGATTTGGTGAAAGAAACACACATAATGATGTATTTTCAATATGAAAAGTAATTGTGGACTTTTTTCAACCCTTTTATCAAATTCTTGGACATGTAAAACAACATTGCCTTTGATTCATTGATTTTAATTTTTTTTTCCTAATTTACTGTTTTTGCCCTATTGACTTACATTATAACCACATTTTTTTATTACAAAACCATAACACCATATAATCATGCATTTTTGATTATTGGTTGTTTTCCCTGTTAGGAAGAGACACTATTTGTAATTTTTACTGTTGATCATCATTTGGCACCAATAACCCTTTAGATAGGCCTGTGCAAAAAAAAGCTTAGTTTATGGGTTTTATATGGAGTATAACAGCAAATAAGGTGTGTGTTAGTGACGTTTGTACTTACCTTGATGTGTCTGAGAAAATCAAAATATGCATCTCTGAACTACATTGCTTAAATAAAAACAAAGTGTTTATGCTCCATCAAATTTGGTGATAATGGAAGTCAACGTGGCAAAAACAGCCACCAACGGTAAATTAGGGTGGAAAAATAAAAATCCAACCAGCTAATGTTAGTACTAATAGTTCACATGTTCAAGACTGTAATAAAAGGTAAAAGTTTATCCAGCTCACAACTACTTTTTTTATTATTTTTTTTTTATAGAAAATACGGCAATTTGCGTGTTTTTTTTCATCAGTGACCTCATTTGTGAACTTGGCATTTAAAGAGTTAAAATCCTGTAACTTTCAAAACAATTAAGTTGTTTTGAGCAGGACTGAGGTTGATTAATAGATTTATGCAAACTTTTAAAAATATTTTTTTTGATGCATTTTTACTGCAGTTTAGTTCAATGGACGTTTTATACCGAACATAACAAAGGGTAGTACATTTTGAACAGTGCACAAGGGTTGAACAAACCCTTAAATAAATACTTTTCACAATTTCTTGTTTTTCCTTTGTTTTAGGCACTATAGAAATGTATTAACATCTCTTTTTATAAGATTAGAAGTTAAAGATGTATCTTTAGACAAGTGATGTTATGCCTGTCAGTATATAATCCATTGTTTATATGTTTTTATGCAGGCTTTATTGGAAAGTAAGTTAAAGGCTTTCAGTATTGGCAAGATGGCAGTTGCAAAAAGAACACTAAGTAAAAAAGAGCAAGATGAAATCAAGAAGAAGGTAAGAAAAAGAGATCCAGTAAGGTCTTACCAGTCAAAATGTTAGCATGCACTTGTCAATGGCTTGTTATTCTCTGTAACCATTCGCTTTCATTGAAGTATCAAGTTATCAAATTATATTTCAGTACAGTTTAATTTGTCTTAAGTTTTCTAGTGATGATCTTCATGTTTCTTCTTATATTTGTTTAGTTTGGTTGAAATATTGAAAGGTATAGTGTGTTTTTTTTGCCATGCTTTAGTGTTTTAGAAGTCGTCATGGTGTTGGTTTACAATAAAAGA